TAACCGGTTGAAGCATTAACCGGTTACCATGCCGATGTGGCAAGTGATGTGATAATATTGAGTTGGATACCACATCAGTATGGTAACCGCTTAATGCTTCAACTGCTTATCCGGATACTTAAATGTTTAAAACTTTACATYTTAGGTACCGAAATGAAAGTTCTGAAAGTACGTTACYCAAAATAGGAATCAARTTAAARTACRTTACTTTTTCATGCAATTTGTTCTTTTATAAAAGGTTTGATAAATTAATCTCATATTTAATACACATCCAATAAAATAGAGAAATTGTATAKATTCATATCAATATCAACAAATTAGTTGGATAATAATAAATTTCTAAGATTTCGGGCTTTGGAAAAAGAATAGATGTCTATGAATTCGAAGTCTATAATTAATTTCAGATTAACAAATCAGATTGTATCAAGTGAAACAAATTTTTTATTCTAATTTTAACGAAGATACATCTTTGAAGCGACTGTTCCCTAGATAAATACGTCATGATATTTTAAAGCTATTAGATCGCAGCTTGATGTACCAAAAATTTCCATTTCGTTGCATCCAAGATTTTTGTTCCGACAATCGTATGAAGAATGGATGCAAGAAAAATACTCTCATTTCCAGTGTCCTGTTTATTTTTATTGAATATTGTATTGAGCATTGAAGTGAAGTAAGAAATCGGAAAACTCTTTTTTTCTAACAGAGAAAAAGATTCGTAATTTAGTATACAGAAAAATTAAAAGAATTTATAAAGAGAGTTCTTTTTCTTAATCTCATGAAACAAGATATAGGAATCGATTCAGTTGATAGAAGAAGACGGAGGCAGGTCTGAGGATGAACTGGTACTGGGCGAGGGGATTGTTTTTTCGTTGAACAGTTCTTTTAGAAAACGAATCGATCTGATTGATGAGTAATAAGAAGACAATTCATGATTCAGATGCTTAATAATAAGAAGGAATAATCTGTATACCCAGACCAAAGAGTTTTACATGTGGTTCATACCTAATAACACAATACAAATAACACAAAGAAGTACGTAAACCACAAGGGGTAGTGGTATTGGGATTAGTCGGCTCGCACAGCAGGTTGGATATCCAAGTTAATAAAAAAAAAAGTACGTAAAAATCAACAAAAAACAGGRAAAAAGTTTTCTCGAAACCAACAAAAAAAAAACCTTGAAAACGATGGAATTCGGGAAAATTATAATTGAAAATCAACCCTGATGAAATGTATCAATTCAATTGGTATGAGAAGCGCAATTCATATAATAAGAGTGATGGGCTGTTTGGCAATTGTTGAATGGTTTGATACAGAATGATTAAGTGGTCAGAATGATTAAGAGACTCTCATAATATAATATAAAATGAAATATAACTGTTTGGTAATTATGTACAATGAAATTAGGGCTCTTAATGGTTAAGAGAGATCTAGGATACAAAACCACTCAGAGGGTTTTAAAACCATTAAGAGGCAGATTTTTTTTTCCAAATAAGATTTATTTTTTAACGATTTAAAGATTACCTCTTAATGAAACTATCAAAAGGTAAACAAATAAACTGAGATAAAAAATTCTTTTTGAACCTAAACCTTGTCATTTGTTGTTCTCTTGAAGAAACCTGACGTCTATTTAAACCTCATAACTTTCGGTCAGATGATTCAGACCCATCAYCATTCAACCATCCCCTTTCTCTATCTCGTCATTTTCCTTTTTCTTCATCTCAAAAAGGGTCGTTGAATATGTTCTCCAAATCAATAACCAAACCCTAGATTTCATCCAAAAACGTTTGATTTTCCCCTCCAAACCCTAAATTAACCTTAATTAATCTCCACACAACTAGATCAGATGAATAATTTAACATTTTYGTTGTATTCGTCGGTCTGATTTTCATAAATTCACTGGTTTTCTTAAACCCTTTCTCGGAAATTCCTGAAATTCGAATCGTTTTGTCAACAATTGGCGGGTGATTGGGGATGGGTAGGGCGTGTATAGAAACATCGAGGCCATCTTCATCGTCGTCGTCGTCATCTCCACCGGCGGTGACGACGTCGACATCGATCACYGAGACCGTTAACGGCGAGCATGATTTTAGGATTTCCGGTTATTCGCTATCGAAGGGTATTGGAATTGGGAAATATGTAGCATCAGATACTTTTATGGTTGGTGGTTATTCATGGGCGATCTATTTTTACCCTGATGGGAAGAGCCTTGAGGATAATGCGAATTATGTTTCGTTATTCATCGCGTTGGCTAGCGATGGATCGGATGTTCGTGCCCTTTTTGAGCTGACTCTTATCGATCAAAGTGGGAAAGAGAGACATAARGTTCATAGCCATTTTGGAAGAGCTTTGGAAAGTGGGCCTTATACTCTTAAATACAGAGGTAGTATGTGGTAAGATAAACATCTTTATGTTCACTATTTGGGTTGATTTGATTAGATAGATGCAATTATGATCGTTTATATGAATTATGTTTTTTCCAATTGTTAGGACTTAGGATTGAACTTGTTCATCTGTGTGAATTTTGTTTTTAAGCTGGTTCTTTGTGCTTCATTGATCATTTGGGCAAAAAGTTGCTTACCTGCAACTAGAGGTGCTAAAAAAACCAACTCGGCCAACCCAACATTTAGAAACCCAAAAAAACTCAACCCGRTGTGACCAGACACATAGCTGATACAAAATTAGACCAAACTGCATCTATTGGGTTGGAATTGGGTTAGGGTAATTTGAACCCAACTCAACCCGATAAACCCGATGCCTTTCTATACTATGGATCAAGGTTTTAAAGAACTGAAACGAGCCTCGAGGCGTTTGTTGGTCTTTTTTGTATGTTCTGATTTTGAGTTTACTTCGTTTAACATGCTTAGCTAGATTGTAAAACGATATACCCAAGTTTCAACCCGACCAACTCAACCCGACCAACTCAACCCAACCTCATGGTTTTGGCCTTTTGGGTTGGGTTGGGTTGGGTTGAGATTTTTAAAACCGGGAACATTGGGTTGGGTTGTTCAAATGCCGCCAATCCAACCCATATGCAGCCCTACCTGCAAACCCAACCCCCACTGGCCCCACAGAACCTGTTTCGAAGACACCAATTTGAGGGGGTATTTTCTGTCTCACTGCCCGAGGCTATGTATTGGGGCAAAGTCGCCGCATCCCCCCAYGCCTTTGCCAACTGAGCTACATGCCAGAGTTCATTGATTATTGTTGTTTTGGTGACGAATAGTTTAGTTCTTTAGTTGCGTAATCAATTTGTTTTTCTARTTTATTGTTATCACCCATGAATGATAATCAATATGCTATACTCCTGTGGGTGTCCGAGCCAGTTTGCACACACTTCGACTAATCCCATGGGACATGAAGATAACAATTGGGAAAATCAGTGGTGGTCCTGAGGAAACTTGAACACCTATGGGAGGATCCCCAAGGTCTGACCTTTATTTGCGAGTGACCTCTTTGATGCATTTGGTGGTATCACATCCAGTTTTCTTAAGGTTAATGATTGAGCAATTCCTATGCTAAATTAAGCYATGGTTGTGATGCTATGTTGCCTTATATGAGTATAATCTTTAACCTACAGCTAGGCTAATAGATTGATTTTTTGTTCACTTTTGCACAAGTTGGGTGTCTTCTCGGAAACAACAACCCTATCCTCTCGGGGTAGAGGTCAGGTCTGGATACATCTCAACCCTTCATAGGCCATGCTTTCAAGCGGGATATACTGGGTTTGGTTTAGAGGATTTTATTCAAGTGGTTCTTCTTTTGGACCGTGGAAAGAAGAAACAACCGCACTACCTTCTGGGGACATCTCACCCCTCCCAGACCTTGCTTTCAAGTGGGAKATATTGGGTTTGGTTTAGAGGATTTTTTTCTAGTGGTTCTTCTTTTTGATTGTGGAAAGAAGAAACAGCCGCCCTACCCTCCGGGGTAGAGGTCAGGTCTGCATACATCTCACCCCTTACAGATCCTGCTCTCAAGCGGGATATACTGGGTTTGGTTTRGAGGATTTCATTCAAGTGGTTCTTCTTTGTGACCGTGGAAAGAAGAAACAAGCGCTCTACCTTATAGGGGTAGAGGTTTGTTTGGTTTGGTGTGGTTTGGCTTAGAGGCTTTTATTTAGTTGGTTCTTTCTGACCGTGGATTTTTGGTTGTGGCATGCTTCAGGGGCTACAAACGGTTTTTCAAAAGATCATCTTTAGAAACATCAGACTACTTGAAAGATGATTGCCTTCAAGTCCATTGTTGTGTTGGTGTTGTCAAGTCCCATACGGAGGGCCCTAAGTCCTACTCTATCTTTGTGCCGCCTTCGGATATTGGGCAGCACTTTGGGCAGCTCTTGGAATGTGGAAAGGGAACCGACGTTTCTTTTGAAGTGAATGGAGAAACCTTTGCTGCCCACAGATTGGTTCTTGCCGCCCGCTCACCGGTTTTCARGGCGCAACTTTTTGGGCCAATGAGAGACCAAAATATCCGGTGTATCAAAGTTGAAGACATAGAATCCCCTGCTTTTAAGGTTCRTTTCAAATATATCCTCTCTTTTGGAAGTTAACTTTGAAAGTGTTCGGTGCAACTATCTTTTCGTGTTCCGTTTGTCACTTATCCTTCTTGTCCGCTGAGGGTGCATTTGGTATAAGGACAGGACAAAACAACTGTTTAGCATTTGGTAAGACATAACTGGACAGGACGGAACAGATAAAATGACCAATTTACCCATAATAAGTGTTTATATATTTTGATTAATTTATGTAATTTATAAATTGTAAAAAAATAAATATTTTTTTAACAAAATATATTATTAGAAAGTTTTCACCAAGATGATTGAAATGATACCAAAATAAAAAGTTTTATGTAGTTTTCAATTTTTATTTTATTTTATACCTTTTCTATATTTTTCTTATTCATTAGTATTAAATAAAGTCCATAAATTTATCAAAATATAGAAACCATATAAAACTAATATCTCGAGGACAGTAAAATGAAAACTTAAAGAGCATAAATAAATAAAATGTAAAGAGGGAGGCGTCTTTTATGCTTTAGAGGAGAATAATGTTTTATTGTGAGGTTATATTGGTAAAAATATAGGCATGTTTCATCTTATTGTGAGGTTATATTGGGGTGGGGGAGTGGAACATGCCTGCTCCACTTTTATTCATGACTTTTATTCATGTCTATTTCACATAAAAGTCTTGCCAAACGTGGAACAATAATCTTTGTTCTATGTTGTTCTGCCATGTACGGCGTACCAACCAAATGCACCACGAGGATCTTTAAGGAAACAATTACTTTACCCTTTGGGGTAGAGGTGAATCCAACATTGATTATAATATTAAAATATTTCATTCATCTATTAAAATATTATTTCTCWCTCTAAATAATTATTTTCAAAGTCCCTGTTTGTAGAAATATATTAAAAAATATTTCTATCACATGGTAATCATTTTTKGGGTAATCTAAAAAACTTCTTTTTCCTACTTTCTCCATTTAGGAGATGGTTTTGGGGAATCTGTTGCAGCTCGAGTTTAGTTCAAAATCTCCATTTTAGAGAATCTGTTGGAGATGCTCTTAATTTTCGTTCGGACTTCATGCCTCCGTATGCAACTTGGTTTACTTCATTTTCTATATATTATTAATTTATTTTTCGTTTTCAGGCGTTGCTTCATTTCATATATTGGGATAATCTCCCCGATATGGAAGAACTTACGGGATTGAATACAAAATGGGCATCAACTTTGATGTTCCAACATCTGCTTGCAGCGGCTGATCGGTATGGTTTAGAGCGGCTTTTGATGCTTTGTGAGTCTAATCTTTGTGAGGATGTTGCCATTAATACCGTCGCAACAACATTAGCTTTGGCTGAACAGCACCATTGTCGGCAGTTAAAATCCGTGTGCCTGAAATTTGTTGCTTTGCCTGAAAATCTSAGAGGTAAAATCCCTCTCTTTTTTCGGTTATAATTTGATGACTGAAGTATCATTTATTGATATTTTCTGTCATTTTTATGATTCGCTATTACAGAATTGACCTTGTAGGACGTCAAATATGTCTTTAAGGGCTGTTTGGTTGGTTTTCCATTAAGTTTTGTAATCCGTATGGATAAGGCTGTCTATATGGATCAGGAAAGTCTTTGTTTGAAAGGGTTTTTTCATAGATGGAAGGAGCTTGTTTTTAATTGCGAGAGACGGGTTTGGAAAAATCTTGCCTTTCTGCATAAAGCTCCCCCCCCCCTATAAGCTTACTAAATAAGCAACTTTTTGTATCATTAAGCCACTACTGTTTGTATGCTTACCAAATAAGCTGTGAGTGCACCCTTATGTTTTACGTCACTCTCGTCCACMCAACCTAGTCCTGCCAGCGTACCAAGCGTAAGCTTGTGTTTTATGTCCAAGAACATTGAACGGATTTTGGTTAAAAGGCTCGATATCTTTCTGTTTTGTACTTGGATGATCGACACATGTAATTTTCATGAAATATTTATGATGATCTTATGGGTGTTTTTTTTAATTGGGGCCTAAAAATAATCTGCTGTTGTTCTTCAATTAGCTGTGATGCAGACCGATGGGTTCGACTACTTGAAAGAAAGTTGTCCGCATGTATTAACCGAGCTTTTGGAGCAYGTGGCTCGAATCAATGAGCATTCTCTCCCCATTTGCACCCACCCGAATGCAATCATACTCGATGGAAGCGATGTTCATGGTAGACGGGTGAAACCCAGATTGTAATTGTAGACAAATGTGTTATATCGACATTTTTGCAGCCGATCTTTCGGGTCCGTTGTCAAAAGTTTTCGACTTTGTGTTTTCGAGCTGCCGAGTTTTACACATATATTGTTCCCTTTCATCTATTTTTCTTGTTAAAGTGTTAGATTTGTTGCTAAAGTTTGGTCGGTCTGATCCTATCAAACTGGTATCGGAGCAGACCGACGTCAAAWTTACCAATTTGTTTGGTGAGGTATTAACCAGTAATTAATGTGATTGAAAATAAATGAAATTGTTTGCTTTTAAATAATGTAATCTGTTCATCCCTTTATAAGTCTAAATTTTCATTTTAGATCTAACCGGGGGAACGGACATTCAATCCTTGTTATTTTCATTTTCATTCCTCTATCTGAACCAAACTGCCTTCCGTTTTAAGTTGATTTGAATATGGAGTTGTAAATTGAGTGAGGCGTGGAGTGAAGGTAAGGTTGAGTCTTAAGTTTTATGAGTCGTGCTTATGGCGGTAAATTTGTACATCATATATTATATTATATATAAGTTTAGGTTCAGATAAAAACAATGGAAAAAGGAAAAACTAAAGAACACTCTGGTAATTGTTCATCTAGACGTTAAGCATATATGCATACAAGTACTTTGTAAGCAATTTGTCCGATATGCACACCTGCATAACAGCCTCACGTGCATAAAAGCTAATAAACGTCTTCAATTACTTGTATACACATGTGCATACTGTTTAGATGGATGATTACCAAAGTGTTCCTTAGTTTTTTATGTTTTTTAAGTTTTCCTCTCTCCCCCTCTCTCTCTCTCTCTCTCTCTCTCTCTCTCTCTCAGCGCTTACCATGTAAAAGTCATCGTCCTCACTTACCGGGTAAGACTTTTGATTCTTGTCTCGTTTTTACCAGATAAGACTCTTGATTTTTGTCTCGTTTTTAGCGGATAAGATTCTTGATTCTTACCATATTTATCCGATAAGGTAATGTGACTTGGTAAACATTTTGTAAACGGCACATAAGACAATAAAAAGGTAAGAAATATCAAATATCGTGTTACAAAAATTACGAATTGGACCATAATATGTCACAGGCTTAACGTGACGTTAAACACAAATCTTTTAAGTCATGACGACCATCGCAAACAAACTTTTTACAACACTGAATATAAGCATATCTTTTTTCTAGCACGTGTTACGGTGTTAGTAGGGACTTAATCACAAATAAAAATCATTTGACCCAAATTCCAACGTTGCATTCCAATAAATTTAAAACAAAGTAAAGAAAATCGTTAGGATTGTGTCGTAGTGGTTGAGATTTTGGAGTATATGATAAAATATCTCATCTATACAAGATTCGATTCCAGACATACACAACAATTGTAACCATTGAATTTATTAGATTTGATTTCTTAGCATCACAATTTATCGGGATTAGTTCGGACACACTTATTTCGAAGCATCTTTCCAAATTAAATAAAATCTGGTGTAATTTTGAGACATTTTATTCATTAATGACCTGCTGATTTGGGTTGACCAAGAAGTCAACCGTCGACATGTTAGGGTTATTTTGGCAAAGGAGGCTAGTTTTGTTCTTCACTCTCGTCTCCCCTCACATTACAACGAAAGAACCCTAGAAAAATGGTGATTATCCTTCTCAACCATATACTTCCTTTTGATCTAATATAAAATTTATGATGAATTTACTTTCGCTTTTGGTTATTGCAGTTGTTCTTCTCGTACTTCAAGGATTTGGTGGGAAGAGAAGTGACCGTGGAACTGAAGAATGATTTGGCTATAAGAGGAACTCTCCATTCAGTCGATCAATATCTCAATATCAAGCTCGAGAACACCAGAGTCGTTGATCAAGAAAAGTTTCCTCACATGGTACGCTCTCAATTATGCTTTCTATACCTTTTGGGGGTTTTAGGTTATTTGAAATTGAATTTGATCTCAATATTCAGAGATTCACATATGATTACGTTATGCCGAATTGGATATCGTTTTCATTTCCTGGAAAATTGCTGAATTGGTTATGCCGAATTGAACTCTTCATGATTTGGCTATAATTAGGGTTTTGTTCTTCACTTTGCTTGCTTCTAAGTAGATCGTATATCGAGCATGATGCTTTCCTAATGCAAAATTGATATGGATTTTAGAATATTTGATTAAGTTTCACTCGATGAACTTTATACCAACTACTTCTAATGGAACTAAATTCTGCAAGATTCCTTATATGCTTGTGTTTAGAAGAAACTGTATTTGAAACTCAAATTCTAAACTGTAGCTCTTTTACAAAAAAGGGGGTAGTATCTTTATCCAATATAAGTGGTTCTTTACTTCTTTTTTCCCATTAAGCCCTATAAGCTGTTTGAAAGACGGGAGACTGATGGATTTGAGGGAGGCAAAAAGAGAGGGTTGGATCGTTTCTCGGTGTTTTTGGTATTAATTAGCTTGAGGTGGCTTAACGAGGAGAATTGATGTAACACCCCAATTTAGCAGCAGAATCGGGATCTCCAACCACAAAAATATAACTCTAATAAATCTTCCATTAAATCCAAAAATGACTTAGGGGCCGTTTACCCAATTGCTTACCCGGTAAGCGCTTACCGATAGAAGTCAACACTATGATTTATTTTGGTGCTTAAGATTTTAGTACATTAAAACATATCGAATGCAACAATTTACTGGGTAAGTGCTTACATGGGTAAGAGTCGTCATCCTCACTTACCGGATAAGACTCTCCATCACTCCAATCGCTCTTATCCGGTAAGATTCTTGGCCTTTCTCATGTTCATCCGATGAGAAAATTTATCCGTAAACACTTACCAAGTAAGTGTTTAGTAAACGGCCCCTTAGTTCCATAAAAAAAGTAATGCCTCAAAAGATAAAAGCAAAACCTTCATAGTACTTCAAATCCACATTAAACTTCAAAATTATCTACAACTTTGAAATGGTTCTCTCTCCATGAAAACCCCTTATTCCCCCCCCCCCCCAAGCTAAATACTTGCCGGGAAAGGAAAAAAACACAACGTGAGACGAAAGCCCGTATCGTATGGATTATGAATACAAATTAAGTAAAGCATAACATACTTGAAAGATCAAATTCAAATGAGGTGGAAATTGAAGCTTCAAAGTTTCTCCAAAATCACCACCAAACTCCGGAATAATCAAGAATTAGAATTCCAGGCTTAAACAACAAGGGGTTGGGTTGCACATACTGAGTTTCCTACATGGAGCAAAAGCGTAATGGTATCCAAACAAATCATAATACGTTGGATTCATGACTCTACGTGTATCCAAAATAAGTATAAATTAGTAACTATAAATTATATTATATTTATTTTTGTTTCTTTTTCATTTTATTGTAAATTTTTATACACATTTTTGTAATTTGTTTTATAAATTCTATTTGAAGTAAACAAATATATTTTTATTTAATTATCTACAAAATAAACAAAGTATGTAATTATCTCGTTGTATTACTATGTTTAGATTATTTTTCAAATATTTTCAGTATATAAATTACAATTAATTCATAAATTGTATTAATAATCATAAAATATCTTTTCTATTTCTAAAAAATATATAAATTCACAAATGAAAATTTATATGAAAAATTGAAAATCAATAAATTTAATAAATTTATATTACTTGTATATATAAATTTATATAATCATATATAAATAAAGTTATATTCTATTAATAAAAGAAATGGAACATGAGGTTCATATAAGAACCTCCATTGTGGAGTTTTATTGGAGTTCTTATTCTGTTGAGGTAACGACAATATGGTAGAAAAAGAAATATGAAGTGAGGTTCTTGTAGGTTTCTCCATTGTGGATGCTTAGAATTAGTGGTGCTCAAAAACCCGACCGAACCGATCAACCCAACATGAAATAACTCAACCCGAAGCAACCCGATGTCTAATCGAGTTGTAAAATTTTCAAGTTGTAGGTATTCTGTTACTATTATTTGAACCCAACCCAACCCAACCTAATGAACCCGATATTCTTTTATTTCTTGGATTTAATATGATTATTGAAATTCTATATGTAAATTGAGAAAATTAACTGAATGTGATATACGTAAGAAGGATGGATAAGTTCTATCAAATGATTGATGATGAAAAAGAAATTATGAGTAGAGAGATAACATATTCAAGGTTAGAAGAATATTTTAATGTACCAAAGTATCAACCCGTCCAACCTATATGGTTAGGGTTGGGTTAAGATTTTTCAAACCGCAAGCATTGGATTGGATTGTTCAAATGTTTTCAACCCGATCAACCAACCCATGAGCGAGCAACCAACAAATAGAGATAACTACTTGATGCAGGTTAGGAATCTATCCAACAAGAGTCCTATGTAAACTCTAATACCTTATATTATATACTAATGCAAGTAATTGCTAAATTTGCTAACTAAATACAATTCTTAACCACCAAGTTTGGTACACACCATAACCTCTTATTAAGTAGGTGTTGTATTTTAGCATCAAATCTGACTAATTGATCCTTATTTAAGGGGTTGGCCAATGATGTTTGATGCTATATTCTTTCCCATGTTCTCTTGTTAAAAACTGTGCTTTTTCTTTTTGTCATAAATAACTTTTTCTGATGATTTACGTGTCGGTTTCTTGTTAAACCTTAAAAAAGGTTCGATAACGTTGCCACAATGAACAGATTTACCGTTAAAATTTTGGGCAAGTTTTTTTGCTTTAATAGATTCTCCAAATTGGAGAAAGTAGGAGAGGAAGTGAAAATCTTCAAATGTGAATGAACTTCGAAAAATGATTACCATGAGAGAGAAATATTTTTTATAATCTTCCACCAATAATAAACATCGAAATTAAATGTTCAAGGAAAGAGAAATAATATTTTATTAAATATATGGAATATTTTAATAATATAATCAATGTTGTTATATCTAAAATGGAGAAGCCGTTGGAGTTGAATGTAATTTTTTTAGGAATTTTTAAATTTTGATGATTAATTTTTTAATGTCTGAGGTCCTGTTTTGTTTATAGGAATGGAATGGATATGGGGGGATTTGGATTTCAAATCTATTCCAATGCCATTTTGGTTTGTTGGATTGTCCGGATTTGAAATCAAACATCGAATTGAACCACCATCTTTTCATAGAGTTTTCTTGCTCCATATTTGCATGAATAACTTCGAAAGAATTGAACGAGGAGCCGTATGAGGTGAAAATCTCATGTACGGTTTGCAAATATAGGATTTTGAAATCCTTAGCGGGTGCTTGAGATTTCGTAGGATTGTATGAAACAAGATTTAAAAAAATGTTAAAAACATTTGTTGTATAATAATTGATTAATGAAAATGTTATTTAATTATTTTATAAATAATGGAATCAAATTTCATTCCAAATTCTGTAAACCAAACACAAACGATGATTTCAAATCCATTTCAATCCAAATCCCTCCATGAAATCCAAATCCTTCAAAAACAATCCTGCATACCAAGTTGGTTTCTAATAGTTGGCATAGAATCATTGGTAGTGATTATGTGTATGACGGTGGTTGTTCTTATCAACTGCGATATACTGAATTCGTTTGGTTTACAATCATTCTTATACGTTAAGAACGATACGAAAATTTAATTAGTTTTTTTAATGATGTGGCAGCTTTCAGTGAGGAACTGCTTCATCCGAGGATCGGTGGTGAGATATGTGCAGTTGCCGCCAGAGGGAGTCGACATCGAACTGCTCCACGATGCCACTCGACGTGAAGCTCGGGGTGGTTAGAAATATGCAAATTTTCACTTTTAGATAATTGTTGCATACTCTTGGATTTTGTTACTTGAATTCTTCATTTTTATGATTACCCTTTTAAAAGATCATCTTCTTCTCCCCTGTTTCACAAATAATTGTTGCATGCTTGCGGGCCGTTTACCCAAACACTTACCCGGTAAACGCGTATCAGTAAGATTCAACACTATGCTTACTTTACCGAGTAAGGTTTTGGTCCATCAAACGCCATCGTATGTAACAGTTTACTCTGTAAGCGCTAACCGGGTAAGAGTCGTCACCCACACTTACCGAGTAAGATTCTCAATACTTGTCATGTTCGTCCGATAAAGTAATGTGACTTGGTAAGTGCTTACTATGTAACTGTTTGGTGAACGGCCCCTTGAACATTTTTGGAGTTTTCAAAAGCTTTCTCCAAAATGAGAAAGTAGAAGAGAGAATGCAATTCTCTACAAATTTGAGATTTTCTCCAAACACTGTCGAGTAAATTATGTTTTCCGTCCCTGTGGCTTGTCAAAATGTGCGGTTTTCGTCTCATTGGTTTATAAATTGTGGTTTTCGTTCGTATAGTTCGTAATTCGTTGTTATTTTTGTTAATTGATTTACAAGTTATTGTTTTTATGGTCCTCGTGGTGTAGAATTATTTACTGTAGTGGTCCGTGGTACTTAAAGGTAGGAATCCATCTAGGGACAAAAATAGCAATAAAATTGAAATCATAGGGACTAAAATTGCAATTTTTAAAAATATTTCAAATATGTTATAAATTTAATGAAATGATGAGGATTTATGAAGTCTGTTTGAATTGATGGTGATCGCAGGAATTAAGGGGGTGTTTGGGATTGCTTATTTAAAACAATTTATGCTTTTTTGTAAAAGTGTTTATTAACTTATGTGGTATCAAACTGGAGTTTTGTAAAAAGTGTTTGGATTAGCTTACAGCGGTACCAAACTGCAATAAGCTGATAAGTTGTTTTTTAGTGTTTGACAAATTTTGCTTATATCTGTAAAATGACCAAAAATGACAGAAAGAAGATTGATGTTGTTATATGGAGAAGGGAGAAGATTGAGATCGATGTTATTTGGAGGAAAAAAGATAGATATAAAGGGTAATAGGGTTAAAATGGTAAACTGGTAATAAGCAGTTTTTCATAAGTCAGGACGGATTAACTTATCAAAAACTGCTTATTACCGGTTTGGCACCGGTATAAGCAGTTTTCTTTTTTCTTATCCAAACACTAGATATTAGCTTATCACCGGTGCCAGACTGAAATAAGTCAATAAGCAGATAAAATAAGCAATCCCAAACACCCCCTAATTTTAGGGTTTGTTGTTTCCCTCTTAATAGTTTTATTAAGAGACAACTTCTGAATTATTAATAGGTGAATCTTGTTTGATAAAATAAAAGTTTGTTTTTTAATGGTTACTAGTTGTGTACTCGCGTAATGCGGCGGCAGGAGCCATGAATTTTAACGATTTTGAAGTTCYACTGGTTTTATAAGATAAGATTTAACGATGATATAGGTTAAACTTGGTCTTTATATATTAATACAATTTGAATAAATAAGAGTTATGGTTCCAATTACAGACTATCGATGAAAAAAATCGTATGACAGTTTAAAATTCAACATATTTAAACAACTCCACATATGTATTCGATTTACACCAAGAGCAAAAAACCAATAAACTTGAGTTTTAAGATAAACACTCAAAACCAATAAAGAAAACTACAAATTTGACAGATCATAAGCCATGAAAAGACAAAAAAATATGGGTTTAAAATGAATTTTCAACTGTTTACCCTCTTTCTTGTCCAGAAACTCAGATTAAGCTTGAATTAGTACATGTATATATATATTTCAAAAAAACCCAATAACATATTAATTTAAAACATATTATACAGTGCAATTTGGACAGACTAACCCCAAAATATATAGTATATATATAAATAAATAACTATAAAAGTATAAATCGTAAATATTAAAAATAATTTTTCACAGTATATATAATATATAATAATATAATTAAGTAAAAAAACTATTCAATATTGAACTCATTTCGAAGGTATTAACGAGACGATTATAATGGTGTAACTTGTTAAAATAAAAATGTATTTTTTAAACATGTTCTAATTGATATACGATTATGTATGTTAATTTGATAAAGGTTTAAAATGAAACATTTAAAAGTAAATAACGTAAAGTAAATTAATTAATTAATTATATGGGTATAAAGTGTAAATTTAAAATTATAATTTAAAAAAAATCGGTTGTGAGGGGGTGAGTGTATGTGAGGAGAGGAGGGGGTGAAAAAAATGAAAAAATGAGTATAAAAGGTATTTTGGTCATTTAGTATTTTAAGACTTTAAGACTTTTATTAAATTTGCTTAATAAGATAGTATAGATAAAATCATATGAATGATTTTGTATCTTAGATTTTTTAAAATATTTAGTACCTTAATTTTATTATAAACAATTATCAAATAATTATATTTTATTTTTCATTATATCATGAAAATCTCTTAACCATTATTATTATTTAATCATTTTTCACTAAAATCACTCGGCAATTAGGCTAGCAATAAATGCAATTGGCAATTGGGCTAGCAATAAATGCGATAAGATTTCTTCTAGAAGCTCTTGAGAGCAAAAAAAATAGATGTCACTTTCTATTACTATTAGTGTATTTTTAACATATTTTTTAAATTAAATAAATTAAAATTAAAATATTTAGAAAATTTTAACTTTATTCTTAATAAATTCTTTATTTAATTATTACATAGTTAATTATATTATCAAAATATTTTATATAACTAATAAAATATTATTTCTTTCTCATAAACATCTAATTTCAAGTAATTTCATCAGTAGAATGAATAAAAAACATTTCTCTCTCATAAGTAATCATTTTCAGATAAATCTTCAAATTCAGATAATTTTATACTCTCTTTCATATTCTCTTCGTTTTAGATAAGGTTTTTGGATGTCTGTTGAAGTAAAAATCCCCAAAATCTTTATTTTCGAGAATGTATTAGAGATGATTTTATCACATTAATGAATTAGACCCGTCTTTTATACGTTTGAACGATATGATCCCTCGTCCTAACATATTTGAATTTGGTGATCGTAGTGTGGACCAGTTTTTGTAAGTACTTGAATGTCTGGTACACTTGAGCTCCAACGATGCATAACTTCTAGAATCAACAAACAATTTATATTCATACGAGAAAACACACCTTCCAACTCGTTGTTTTCATCGTCATACGAGAATGTGATTGCGGCTCAACGTTCTTTTAAATCTAAAATTAATCTTTTTTTTTTATCTAAAATTAGTTTTCAACCGGTTACCTCTGAATACTTAAATATTTAAAACTTTACATTTTATGTACCAAAATGAAAGTTTTAAAAGTTYGTTACCCAAAATATAAATCAAGTTAAAATACGTTATTTTTTCATACAATTTGCCCAATAAAAAATGCATGTCATCGACTCTCACGTTCTTGTCACTTCACATTTTAAAATTGTAAAATGACCAAACTATTCTTATGGACATAGATAGATACTTAATAGTCAAATGATTAGAATCGTTAGAGAGATGGACTAGAACCAAAACAAGCCCCCGTACACCAAATTCCTTTTTTTAATAAACAAAGTCGTTAGACGGATACGTTTATTAAAAAACCCGCCACACGACTTTAATAATCATAACATGTGATGTTCTTATCTAATAAATAACTTATTTTATGTTGTGTTAGACAAGATTATTCTAGTTGTAATTATTTGATTATTTAAGTGTCAAATAATTAGTTTTACACACGTTATATTTGTAATAACTCGTCTGATATAGATAGAAAATGAAATTTGTGAGCTATCAATAACCTCTACACTGATTTTAAGTAGGAATCAGAGTTATTGAGTCAGCCTGTTACTTTGAGGTTTTTGCGGTGTTACAAATGGTATAATAACTCATATTTGTGTTATCAGGATGGTGGGACGAACCTCATCAGGCATGATAAGTCCTCAAGTGGGCGATCATGATTTTAAGTTGTAATTAAAGTTATTGGATCAATTTGTTCTGCTTTGGAATTTGAGGTGTTACAATAGTAAACTATCTACTGTATTTTTTTTTCCTGATTAACCTGGATATCCAACCCGCTATGCGAGCCGATTAATCACAGAACGCCCACCTGCTTTGCAGATAGCCCGAAGTCACTGCATTTGAACCTCCATGACCACAAGAGGATTTTTATTTCTCCTTGGATTTGAACTTGAAACCTCCTGATACTTTTGACATTTGAAGCTAAACTCAAGCTAATCAGGCAACCCTTGTGGTTATTACTGTATTTATTGCTATATTAATAATATTTTTGTATAAAAATTATTTTAATTGATAAAAAACAACTTATTGTATTATATATTTGTACTTTTCATACCTAAACTACATCAATAATCTAATATACACATAGTATGGTAAATAAATTATTTAATAATCCAAAAACCACTAAAAGGTACAAAAAGTAAACAATAGAGTAAATTACACTTTTGGTCCTTGTGGTTTTATATCTTTATTGGAATTCATCCCTAAACTTCATTTATTATAAAAAATAATATCGTGGTATCGATTTTATCATGGATTTGGTCCCTCTCCCTTAACACCATGTAGAAAACCATGTATAACCTTGTGGTATTAATTTTATTGATTCACCATGTAGAAAACCAAATATAGATTCGTTCACAATTGTCGCAAACCAAATTTAAGTCAAAAATCCATCAGTCGACGCTCCTTAAAAGAGAGATTTGAGGAATTTGGATCGGGACCGAAATAAAATGAAGAAGGACGGTTTTGTCTCTACCATTGTACATCATCCTCATTTCGACTTCAACGTATTTGTGTACGCCGCCTCTAGCAGATCTTTTGACTGAAATGATCCCTGTATTTTATGTTTTCCATTTACCATCATTTTTTTGTATGACCAGTAGGAAATTTTATTAAAAGCAAAACACACAAGAGTACAGAAAAAACATGAAAAAAATCTGCAAAGAGGCGGAACAAAACCACCAAAAACGCAAACTAAACACGAAACAGAACGAGGGAAAAAAGCAGAATAGGCCAACACTCAACGGGGAGGCAAAAACCAAACACAAAAGCTAAAAACGAGACACTAAAAACAACGAAGAAACCAAGACCGAAGCTAATTTCAAGTTTTCAACAATCAAAGATTCTTAGAAATTATGAAATGACTAAAATGTCCTTTATTTAACAGAAGTTCTTAACAATGTTAGGGAACGACAACCATCTCCATAGCAAAACTGATACTACAAGTTCTTTTTTGTAATTAAAGAAGTTCAGGGACGAATTATGTAAAATCATAAAACCACAAGGACCAAAACTGTACATTTGTTCGGTCAATAAAAATCTGCCCGGTTGCCCGCCCATTTGTGCTGACTCCAGGTGCTCCTAAATTTCAATAGTCTTCGTTTGCCCCCCAATAACAAAAAAGGAGACGTTGCTCTCTCTCACTCTTTTCTCTTCTCACTGTGTGAAAATCGCCAACAAAAATTCTTTCATGGAGGTTTTGGTTGGTAGAAAACCCTAGCTCTGTTACAGACTACACTATGACGGTGACCTTACCGTCGATTGCCACGCAGCCGCCACCGCCGACCATCGGATTATGGGATGGCGTGGTGGAAATGACGAAGTCTGCTCAAATTAAAGGAACTGATCCGTTGATTTGGGCGGTTCAGCTCTCATCTAGATTATCGTCGGCCGGAATCTCGATGCCGTCGACGGAGGTTGCTGAGTTTCTCGTTTATCATATTTGTTGGTCTAATAATGTTCCAACTGCCTGGAAGTTTCTAGAAAAAGCGATCGCTCTTAGAATCGCTCCGCCAATGCTCGTTCTCGCTCTTTTGTCCAACAGGTTTCATTTCAATTTACGCAATCTGATTAGGTCGACGATGATTACTTTCACTGTATATATGTATGTATGTATGTATGTATAGGTACAATCATTTATTAAAGTTAATAGTACGGCAATTTTGAAATAAATTGTTTTATTTTTGGAAGATAATCAACAGTCGCGCTCTGTCTTTTCATCTTGAATTGCCCAACGGGAACTTCGTTTGACATGGTGTTTGTTTTTGTTTTTCATTTTTTTTTTGTGAGATAATCATGTTTTATATGGTGTCTGTTTAAAAGTTCATACAGTCGTGTCATCTATGAACTTTGATCGTTCCTATTTTTTTTTTCTCCCGAAGTTCATCAGGTGAAACCAAGAAGTTCACATGTGAAACAATGATTTTTCTTTAAAGTTAATAATATAGTATTGGTTGTTCCAATTTCTTTTAACAAAATTCATAGTTGAAACAATGATTTTTTTGTTTAAAGTTTATAATGTAATATATTGGTTGTTCCAATTTTTTTAACCAAAATTCATGCGTGAAACCTGAAATTGAATGAGATAAATTAAGGAAGTTTAAACAAAGTAAATGAGATAATAAATGAATGTGATCATTAAGTAAATGAGATAATTACATCTTTCACAAACTCAACCATTAATACTAACTATATAAGCCAATTAATTGAGATATTTATAGAAATGATGAAAGTTTATTTTTATGATTTTGATATTTATGGAAAATTATCAGAGTTCATTTATTATGATCAATGCTTTATATTAGTAAACAATATATTTAGTAGACTATATAATCAGTTGACATTTGTTTGTATGGTTTGTATTAATGGTTGGGTTTGTGAACGAAACCACCTCTATATATATGCACATATCTCCAAACCTGCCTAAGGAAATTAGGAGTGATGCATCATATGGTATAGTATCTAGGAGAATCAGATCAAATGTACCGAACAGTCCACCAGAACATGAGAATCGCACTGAATGTTCTGAAATCGCGTATTGTAAGCTACAAGTCGCTGTAGAACATTGGCAAAAACCAGTGAAGCTATACTAAATGAAATTGATGCATAAATAAGAGATAGAAAACTTACGAAAAAAATGTTTAGTTGTTCAGAGTTGATGTTGTTGAGTAGGATTTTGGTGTACAGTTTTTTTTTTAAATTATATCTTTGGTCGATGTTCATTCAGTTAATTTTAAATTGTTAAATTGTTGTAGTGTAATCCCGAATCGAAGAAGCCAACCTACTGCCTACAGGCTCTATCTAGAGCTTCTCAAAAGACACATTTTTTCATTAGCTTCCGAAGTTCATGATCCAAAGTACCGCAAGTAAGATTCTTATGCCCTTTCAGGCTTTACTGTAATGTCATGATCATAATCAATGAACCTTATCATCTTCCATAAATATCTCGAGTATAACAAATGAATCATGATTATTAGCCAAATTTATATCTCGATTGTTTCTTAATATAAGTGTTTGTTATGGTTTGTATATGAATCCTCCTATATATATATATGACAAGTTAAATAAAGACCATGCAAACCAATCAATTAAAAATATATATGGAAATGATGAAGGTTCATTTATTATCATTTGAATATTTATAGAAGATGATTAGATTTCATTAATTGTGATCAACGCTTTATATTAGGAAACAATCGTGTATTTATGAAATCGGATATTTTTCAAACTAAATGGGCGGTTGAGATTTGTTTGTATGGTTTGTAACTTTGCATGATTTGTGTTTGATTTGTCCTCTCTCTCTCTCTCTCTMTATATATATATATATAKAKAGAGAGAGAGAGAGAGAGAGAGGACCACCCTTGACAAAATTCTTGGCTCCGCCCTTGGTTACAAACCTATGATCTAAGGGAATCTCACTATGTTGCGGACCTATTGCGTCTCATATAAAAATTACATATGTTTGACACACACGGTAGCTAACATTTTGTATTATTTGAGCTTGTATAGTTTGAGAATTACATTTGGCATCAGTTGGGTTTATTTGGACAATAGCAAAACTTGACATATCTTAACAATGCAATTGCAGAATCATGGAATCTATAGATGATGTTCTTCACCTCTCTGAGAAATTTGGCATTTTTTCTGGTGAACCTGGGCTTCTACTAGTTGAATTTATTTTCGCAATAGTGTGGCAGTTGCTTGATGCATCACTAGATGATGAAGGCTTGTTGGAACTTGTACCTGAGAAGAAGTCTATGTGGCCAATTAAATCACAAGAGATGGAAATTGATGACCATAATATTGGAAAAAAGCAAATTGATCGCCATGACAGATTGTACAAAACAAATACCACATTGGCCATTGAGATCATTGGAGAACTTTACCGACACAAAGTAACTTCCAGGATCCTGTGCTTGGCATATCGAAATATGTGAGTGCCCGAAGATGTTTTTATATATATAGGATCAGGTTCAGGGGAAAACCACAAAAAAAATGAAAAACTAAGGAACATCCTGGTAACTGTTCATCTGGATGGTATGCATATACAAATAATTTGTAAGCAATTTGTCTGGTATGCACATGTGCATAACATGCACACGTGCATAAAACCCGAATAACAACTTTAAATACCCAAATGAACGGTTTACCAGGGTGTTCCTCGATTTTTCATTTTCTGGGGTTTCCCCTGAACGTCCTTATATATACGTAGGGTCAGGTTTAAGGGGAAACCGCAAAAAGGGAAAAACTGAAGAACACYCTGGTAAACATTCTCATTTGGATGGTACGCACATGTGCATACAAGTATGTAAGCAATTTGTCCGGTATGCACATGCGCATAAAAACCAAAAAAAAGCTTCAGTTACTTGTATGCACATGTGCATATCGTCCGGATGAATGGTTAGCAGATGTTTCTCAGTTTTTCATTTTTTTTGGGGGTTCTCCCCTGAACCTCAACCTCCCTCTCTCTCTATATATATCTTATCATGTTCATATCTGTCAGATTTGTTCTCTTTCCTGTACATGATCAACTTTGATCATCTCCGATTTGAAATTTGATTGCTTCATATCTAATTCTGCTTTACTAATTTCTCCTTCTAGGCCCATACATTGGGGATCTTTCATTTATAATTTGAGACTGCTGGCTGCAAACTCAATATCTTTGAGAAATTCCAAAGATATTACCCCTGAGGCTCTTTTGCAGTTAACATCAGATAGCTGTGTGTTACTGTCACAGGAATGCAAATCAATATCATTGCAACAGTTCCATGCATTAATGGCTTCTGGATCACTTGTATCGTCTACAGGTCCAAGTCATGGTGCTAGTCGCTCAGCTATTTGGCTTCCAATTGATCTGTTCCTTGAAGACACCATGGTGGGATCTGTGGTGGCTACCACAAGTGCAGCTGAAACTCTTGCTGGTACAATCAACTTTGATATCATGATACTGTAGGGGTGCTCGTGGTGCGCTTTGGGGCAAAACCGCAAACCTCACTGCATATGTGGGTTGAGCATTTTCGCAAACCGCGCCACATACACCTCAAACCACAAAAAACCGCACCGCATTTTATGCAGTTTGTAACTAACACACATTACGCCTACAATACAATATTATAAAATCAACGACAACGTGACCGTGGTCCATAAAAATATAAAGTTTCAACATGTCCGACTTCCAAATACATATTACATATATTATAAATAGTCTAAGAAGTAAAAAGATTAACTTCGAACTAATTGTTGAGACTTGAAAGTAACTTAAGGCAGAAGGCAGAAGTCGCAGATCAACACAAAATTGAAAAAAATGGTGAAATCGTGTCGTGAATGTTGATTAAAGCCTAAAGAGCGTAATGGATTATTGGACTATAATTTATATACATAGAGAACATGAGTGTGGTCCATTTTGAACCGTGCTTTGATAAGTCAAAACCACAAACCGCACTGCATAGTGCGGTTTGGTAAAAATGCAAACTGCGAACCGCACCGATGAAGTTCTAAACCGCCCTTTGAGATGCGGTGCGGTGTGGGCGATTTGTGCGGTTTAGATGAACACCCCTATGTGATAGTGCAAGTTTAACACATAGACATCATTTGTATCTATCCTCTAAACAGATCAGTTCTTATTATAGGTCTACTGAAAGCCCATCAAGCAATCAGTCAGGCTTCCTGGCAGGATGCATTTCTTGGTTTATGGATTGCAGCTTTACGGCTTGTTGAAAGGGTAAAAAACATGTATACAAATTATCCATATTAATGTTAACATAGGTGAATCGTTTATCTGATTAAAAATAAGGATTGAGTTCCAGTGAGAATGAAAGTTATGGTGAGAAAAGTAAGAAGAGATCTCCACCCTTGGATCAATCCTAATTGAAGAGAAGCACTAGATCAACACTAATGAGATACACTAGATCAATTCCCTTCTAAAGCACAATTCATGGTTGTTTTGGGATTAAAAGTGATCAAGGGTCCAAATCCCATTTTACACTTCTCACCTTAACTAATATTCTCACACGATCCTTCGTCTTGAAAATAAATGGAATCAACATTTTACCCCTAAAAACATCAACGACGCTTTGATTTTCTTAGGAAGGAGATGCCGTTGAGGGCCCAATACCTCGTCTCGATACATGTTTATGCCTGCTATTATGTACAACAACCCTTGCAATTGTCAGTATTATTGATGAAGAGGAGAGTGCTCATTTTGAGGAAGATGAGCACGAGCAGAGTCACATGCATTTCCGGAGCGAAACACGGGTTCTTGGGAACTGTCGTAAGAGCCTAGTTTCCAGCCTACAACAATTGGGTGATTATGAAGGCTTATTGATCCCACCACCATCTGTAACTTCTTTAGCAAATCAAGCAGCTGCCAAAGCGATTATGTTTTTCTCGGGTCTAGGAGTTGGAAGTGGTTACCTTGACAATATAAGCTTGAATGACATGCCCGTCAATTGTTGTGCGTAAATCTCTTTCGTCTTGCATACATTTTCTTTTAGATTTTTGAGGTCGTTATCTTATTACATGTTTCTTTCCCCAAAAAATGGTGCTTGTTGATAATGGGCATGATATCTTCACCCAATTTTATTTACAAATAATGTATAGGATTTTGCATGAAAGATCATCAGTCAAATGTTACAAGTTCTTGATCCTAAAGACTAATCCAATTAAGAGGATACACTAAGGGGTTTGGTTATTTTTCCATTAAGTCTTGTATAGATAAAGTTGTCTGCGTGGATTAGTCTGTTTTGAATAGATTGAAAAAGTTTTTGTTTGGGAGAGTTTTTTCATAGATAGAAAGAGCGTGCTTTTAATTGGGAGGGACAAGTTTGAAAAAAACTTGGCTTTTCATAGATAGAATTACTAAATAAGATACTTTCTATATCATTAAGACACTACCAAACAGTTAAATATAGCCGACCCAATAAGCTGCAAGTCTAATTAACCTCATTAGGCTGCTAACAAACAAGCCTTAAGATTCAAAGAGAAGGGATGTGAAGCAGCGAATAAGACCCAATGATTTCGGGAAAGTTCTACTATAAGATGACTAGGCATCATTTTGGGTAGATTTGCATGATTTTTTAAATGTCTTTCAGAATTTTTCTCAAATTATTCTTTCCTAAAATATATTTTGCCGCGTCTCAGTTTTTTGGGATCATGTGAGACCCGATCGTTTTCATGAGACTTGGGGGACCACATAAATAACACTGAACCTTCTCAGCAAAACACCATGAAGGTAAACTTCACAGTGTTTTTGCTGTGAAGTTTAGGTGTTTTACGTACATTCACAATGTTTTGCTGTGAAGTTTTAGTGTTATTTTGACCTTGTTGACTATGACAACAGTCACGATGGTCTCATGGGTCTCACGAAAATAGGTTGGTTTCACGTGAACCCAACTCTATTGATTGTTTGAACATCGTGTCGACATTGAGCTACTTTTTATTTATTGTTTGCAGCCGGAGACCTGAGACATCTGATTGTGGAGGCTTGTGTTGCAAGACATCTATTAGACACATCGGCATATCTATGGCCCGGCTATGTCAAGGGACACGCCAACCAAATACCTCACACCGTTGCTAGCCAGATGCCTGGCTGGTCATCGTTGATGAACGGGTCCCCTTTAAGTCCTCCAATGGTGCATGCTTTGGTTTCAACTCCAGCTTCAAGGTATGCTTGTAATGGTGATTTCCAAGTCTTGACTCCTTTGCGGGAAAGTAACAGTAATAACCATGGATGGAGTTTTTGAACCGAAAGTCATGGGTTCGAATCATGGCATCAGCCTCAGAGGTGGACCTAGATTTTTTTTTCATAAAATCATCATTGGCCAGTTGGTTAGTTCATTGTTTTTCATATGTGAGGTCTTGTGTTCAAGTCTTTTGTTGCAATTTTTTTCATAAACATAATAAAATTGAAATTAAAAGCTAAAAAAACCAAGAAAATGATCATAATGGGATTCGAACTTGGGTCTGGGTGGGAGAAAAGGTGTGCAAACCAGCTCTACTAAGGAAAACTTGTGTGTCATCATTGTAGTTTTAAAATATATGCGGTGGCACACAACAAATTGATATTGTGGCACCTTTGACGACCCTATAATTTTTTACACTACAACGGAGGAACAAAGTGGTGTCCCGTGCCACCGTATCCAATAGAGTGGGTCCACCCCTGATCAATCCTGAACTATAAAGTCCTCACTGTGTGGGTCTATTTCTGTTAGGGGTTTGATGATAACCTCTTCCTGCCATAAGTTTTCACTTTCATCAGACAGCTGGTGGTTAGGTTAGCTTTTTTAGGAGAACCATCAATGGGAGACTAAGGGCCTGTTTGTTAGCAGCTTAATGAAACTCGCAACTTATTCGATTAGCTATACATGACTATTTGGCAGTCGCGAAAGTGTTCAGTAAGCTTCTAGGGGGGTCTTTATGTAGAAAGCCAAGTTTTTCCCAAACCTCTCATTCCCAATTAAAAAAAACACTCCTTTCATCTAGGAAAAAACCCTCCCAAGTTAATCCATACATACAACTTTATCCATACAACTGAAATTCCTGACGTCCTCCTTTGGCCTGCCCAGAATCTTCCTCTTTGTAATCGACGATGTTAATGTTACAAACACCCCCCTTTGAGGACTCATTATACCCGATGAGGTTTGCCCCATCATCCCGATGGTTCAAGGATTGGCCTGATTCCATATGTAACACCCCAAAGCTACAGGCTGGCCTAAACTTCAAATCCAACTTAAAACCATGATGGAAGCTATTTGTAGCCCCCAACTTGAGGCGTATAAGGAACTCGCAAATCCCATTTTCTATCAATGTGGGACGAGTTATTACACTAGCCAACTGAATTATGTGCATAGATCCAGTGTGCCTGTTACGTAATCCCTTGTTATTAGTGAAGAGCTGTACTACCCTGTGATACCATATTGATCCATTATTGGCCTACAATATGCAGACGGTTGGAAATTATTCTAAATGGTCCATAATTAGTACACATCACTACCATCCAAATGCGTTAGAATCTGTATGGCTGAATATTATTTGGTTAGGCATCTAAATAATTAAAAGTGATAGTGTTGAAGTTCCTGTCCCATGACTGTTCTTGAGTTGTGCGTCCTGTATGGATAAAGCCGTCTGTACGGATTTTGAAGGTTTTTGTTTGGGAGGGTATTTTTTCATAGATGTATAGAACGTGCTCTTTACTCTTTAGATGGGAGGGGGAGGTTTGGAACTTTTTGGCTTTCTGCATAAAGCTCCCTCTATAAGCTTGTTGAATAAGCAAGCCACTTTCTATATCATTAAGCCACTACCAAACAGTCATATATAGCTGACCAAATAAGTTGAGTCTCATTAAACTCATTAAGCTGCTAACAAACAGGCCCTTTACTTGAAGTCAGGTGTATCAGATGCTTTATCATCGTTATTATTTTCTCAAATTTATCAGTATGATTATGGCAACTGAATTTAAGCTCTTGGATTTGATGGAAGCTTAGCTGAAATTGAAAAAATATTTGGAATTGCAACCGATGGCTCAAACGCTGAGAAGATCTTTGCTGCTACTATTCTGTGTGGAGCGTCATTAACTCGTGGTTGGAATATTCAGGTGAAATGTTGCTTCTTAATATGAATTTCCGTATTCAAATGCTCATCATCTGCAAATCTGAACCCTTTGTGGGCTGTGTTTGCAGGAACATACTGGATTTTTCATCATTAAGCTGCTTTCACCTCCGGTTCCCCGAGATTATAGTGGGAGTGAGAGTCATTTGATAGCTTCTGCTCCCCTTCTAAATGTCCTTCTTGTTGGGATAACATCTATCGATTGCGTTCAGATTTTTTCTTTACATGGCTTGGTAAGTAGACTTCAGTTTGTGCTCTCTGTTTATGATTTTTATGCAAATTATTTGGATAAGGTCAACAGATTTACAAGAAAACATGTTAAGCATGTGTCAAGATAATGTCTTAGGGCCTATTTGTTAGTGGCTTAATGAGCTTAATGGGCCTCACAGCTTATTTGGTCAGCTATACATGACTGTTTGGTAGTGGCTTAATGATATAGAAAGTGGCTTATTCAGTAAGCTTCTAGGGGGGGGCTTTATGCAGAAAGCCAAGTTTTTGCCAAACCTGCCCCTCTCAATTAAAAAACACGCTTCTATCTATGAAAAAACCCTCCCAAACAAAAACCTTTCCAATCTATACAGACAAATTAATCCACACAGACAAACCTTTACCATACAGGGTTAATGGAAAACCAACCAAACACCCCCTAAGAATCACATCAAAAATGGGAGACATGCACCAAGGACCATTGCCCTGATAGTATCCGGGTTACTGGTAGAGCCTGGCCTCCGTGGACATTGTTCAAACCTCACCAAAGATCTGGAGTGTGCTTGAGTATTTGCCCTATATATATAACGTATATAGTGATTTACGATTTCTGTCCCTGTGATTTAGAAATTGAGATTTTCGTTCTTATGGTTTGCAGTTATTGCTATTTTCGTCCCTGGACTAATTCCTACCTTTAAGTACAAGGGACCAAAACAGTAAAGAATTATAAATCACAAGAACCGAAACAACGATAAATTGTTAATTAGAAGGACTAAAATATCAATGAATTACAAACCATAGGGATGAAAATCGCAATATCTGAACCATAAAGGATGAAAATCGCAATTTTTAACAAACCTCAGGGATGAAAAACGTAATTTACTCTACTATATATTTAAAAAAAGAGAGATGTAGATTCTCCTTGTAATATGGTGAGTCTAAAACTACCAGTATGTATGGTGCTAATATATATACACGTATATATATATATATATATATATATATATATATTATTTCCAGGTTCCACAGCTTGCTGGTGTCTTGATGCCCATATGTGAGGCCTTCGGATCATGCTCACCCACGGTTTCTTGGCCTCTTCCAACCGGGGAACATTTATGCCCTCTTGCTGTCTTCTCAAATGCCTTTACTCTTCTGTTGAAATTATGGAGGTTTGATCAACCACCTCATGAGCATGCGATGAAAGACGTAACTCCTGTCGGGTCTCAACTAACACCCGAATTCCTCTTGCTGGCACKCAATTCCCAATTAACATCATGCGGAAATTTGCTTAAATCCCAAAAGAAACGTAAGAGGTTTCTAAGGCATTGTGATCCGTCATCCGTACGTCCCGTTTTCTTGGATTCTTTTCCGAAACTGAAACTTTGGTACCAACAGCATCAAGCGTGCATTGCTTCGACTCTCTCTGATCTTAAACATGGAACACCGGTGTACGAGATCTGTGATGCCCTTTTGAATATGATGTTTAGAAGAACGAATATTGGTTGCCAATCCTTGAATCCTTCAACATCTGGAAGTAGCGATTCATCCGGATCTGAGGACTACACTCTTCGTCTTAAACTTCCTGCTTGGGATATTCTTGAAGCTGTTCCATTTGCGCTCGATGCTGCATTAACAGCATGTGCCCATGGAAGATTGTCTCCCCGTGAACTCACTACTGGTTACTTTCCAATGCTTAATTCATCGACGTTTAATTCTTTGGGGCAGTTTGGTTGGTTCTCCGTTAAAGTTGTCTGTGTGAATTAATTTGTCTGTATGGATTGAGAAGATTTTTGTTTAGGAGGGTTTTTTTTATAGATGGAAGGAGCGTGTTTTTTTAATTAGGAGGGACAAGTTTGGAAATAACTTGGCTTTCTGCATAAAGCTCCCCCCCCTTCTAGAAGCTTACTGAATAGGTCACATTCTATATCATTAAGCCACTACTAAACAACCATGTATAGCTGACTGAATAAGCTATAATTCCCATTAAGCTCATTAAGCTTCTAACAGACCCTACTAGAAAGCGGTCTACAATTGCCAATGCTATATCTTTTTTATATCATTCAAGTGTTCACTGTCACCCCTTACCGTCTCCCCCCTCCCACCATTGATGATGATCCTCTCCCTGCCCTGTTTTTACTTCTTCCGTCCCAAAATAAATGTCCATATTTCTATTTTAATTTGTCTCAAAATAAGTGTCCACTTTTCAAAGTAAGGGACTTTTTGTTAGCAGCTTAATGGACTTACAGGTTATTCGGTCAGCTATACATGACTATCTGGTAGCGGCTTAATGATATAGAAAATGGCTTATTCAGTAAGCTTCTAGGGGGAGCTTTATGCAGAAAACCAAGTTTTTACCTCACGAACCCTCCCAGTAAAAAGAACATGCTCCTTTGATCTATGAAAAGGCACTCCCAAACAAAAACCTTCCCAATTCATACAGGTTTTAATGAAAAACAAACCAAATAGTCCCTAAGTTCCGAATTTCCAAATACCCATATAATTATGAGATAGAGAAATTTATTACTCCATCTTTTATTAAGGGTAAAATTGTCATTTAGTTAATTAAAAAGTGGTATAATTACACTTTATAAAGCTGTGTACGGAGATTTATTTGTGGACGGTGGGAGTATATTCTAATACTGATATCATGTTGAATTTAATTTTTCGTGAATTTACCGCAGGACTCAAAGATCTTGCGGACTTTCTTCCTGCTTCTATGGCAACTATCGTAAGCTACCTTTCGGCTGAAACGACAAGAGGTCTCTGGAAGCCTGCTTCGATGAAYGGAACCGATTGGCCAAGTCCGGCCACGAACTTGTCCATGGTCGAGAAAACTATAAATAAAATATTGGCTGCAACTGGAGTCGACGTTCCCAGTCTTTCTGCAGGTTTGATTTGTTGGAAATTACTTGTCTAGTGTTTATATTTATCTCTTGTTCGAGTTTAAACTACGTTTTTCCGTCCCTGTGCTTTTGAAATTACGATTTTGTCCCTGTGGTTTACGATTCATTGTGTTTTTATGTCCATGTTGTTTACAATTCATTGTTGTTTTCGTTCCCCATGCTTAACGGTAAACCACTTACAGTCAATAGAGATGCACAAAAAAGCTCGAGCCTGGACCGAGCCCAAAATGAAAGAGTCCTGGCCTATTGAGCCTGGCCAGGCCTGAAATCCTGATCAGGACGAAATTTTAGGGGCAGGCCTGGGCCTAGTCCCGGTCCAAAAAGCCCGACCTGAAAGCCCGGAAAACCCTGGTTAAGCCCAGCCTGAAAAATCCCGACCGGGATCTTTTTCAACTCCAAAGCCCAGCCCAGGCCCAAACTGAAAGAGTCCTGGTCCAGTCCAGGCCTGAAAGCCTGATCAGGACGAAGTTTTAGGGGCAATCCTGGGCCTAGGCTTGGTTCGAAAACCCCGACCTGAAAAAGCCCGGAAACCCTGGTTAAGCCCAGCCTGAAGAGCCCGTTCTGGACCTTTTTCGACCCCAAAGCCTGCCAATGCGGGCCAGATGAAGAAGACTGGCACCTACTAAAATAAAGGGGAGTGGCCCCTTCCATGCACAGACGGACAGACCTCACAACCCTTTGTGGGTTGGTAATACTGGGCCATTTTTGCTCACTGAACGGGCTGAAAGGCCCGGCCCTTGTTCATCTCAAACGCTCAGGGACGAGAACACCACCGAGTTGCAAACCATGGGACGAAATTGTCATTTAGTTAATTAGAAAGTGTAATAATTACATATTTCTAAAACTGCATGCCTTTTTAATTGTGTAACAAAGATTATTTTTTAGCCTGTTAACTGATGTGAAAAAGAACTTGCAGGCGGGACCTCTCCAGCTACTCTTCCTTTGCCTCTTGCGGCCCTAGTAAGTCTCACGATAACCTACAAAGTCGATCGAGTCTCCGAAGCGGTACTGAACCTCGCGGGCCCAGCGTTAAGCACCCTCGGTACAGGTTGTCCATGGCCATGCATGGCCATCATAGCCGCTCTATGGGCTCAAAAGGCCAAACGATGGACCGACTATCTTGTTTTCTCCGCATCCCGAACCGTGTTCCACCACAACAACGATGCCATAGTCCAACTTCTCCGAGCCTGCTTCCAATCAACTCTTGGTCTAAACTCTTCTCCCATCGTTTCAAATATCGGTGGAGTCGGTAATCTTCTCGGTCACGGTTTTGGGTCCCACTGTTCCGGCGGGATCGCGCCGGTGGCTCCGGGACTCCTCTACTTGCGAGTCCATCATAGCGTCAGAGACGTCATGTTCATGACCGAAGAAATCGTCTCGTTATTGATGCATTCCGTCAAAGATATCGTATCTACCAGTGTACCGATCGAAAAACTGAAAAACCCGAGAACCGGGATGATCATGAGATATGGTGAGGTTTCTCTTTCTGTAGCCATGACTCGGATCAAGCTAGCCGCCACCCTGGGTGCATCGTTGGTTTGGATCACCGGTGGGTTAAACCTAATCCAAACCCTGATCAAGGAAACATTACCCTCATGGTTCATATCGGTCCACCAGTCGGACCCAACCAAAGGCAGTTCAGGTGGGATGATTGGGATGCTCAAAGGCTACGCTCTCGCATACTTCACCATTCTTTCCGGCGCGTTCGCTTGGGGTGTCGACTCCGCTTTGTCAGCATCCACCAAGCGTCCGCTCATCCTCGGGGCCCACCTCGAGTTCATGGCTCGGGCGCTCGACGGCAAGATTACACTCGGTTGTAAGAAAGCAACATGGAGGGCTTACGTTTGTGGGTTCATTAGCTTGATGGTTTCGTGTATGCCGATGTGGGCCCGTGAGGTCAATGTGGATGTGTTGCGGAGTGTGAGTAAAGGGTTACAAAAGTGGGATGAGGAGGAATTAGCGATGGCGCTGCTCGGAATTTCCGGGGTCGGTGCAATGGGTGCAGCTGCTGAATTTATCGTAGAATCTTCGATGTGATTCTATTTACCATTTAGGCGTTTTGTACATAACTCATTTTGTCTCTTCAAAATCTTGACAAGCAACCTCAAAAGGTTAGTCTGATGCACCCTAAAAAATAAACCTCAAAAGCGGAAAATGGAATTCATTACAGCAATTGGTTATTATGATGCATCTATGAGTAAATTACGTTTTTAGTCCTTATGATTTGTTAAAAAAAATACGATTTTTATCCTTGTGCTTTTGAAAATATGTGTTTTTTGTCTTTATGGTTTACAATTTATTGTTTTTTCGTTCTTGAGACTAAATTCGTTAGTGGGTTCTCATTATTTACGAGGGACGAAAATAACGAATTGTAAAAGATAAGACGAAAACAACATGAATTGTCAACGATAGGATGAAAACAACATTAGTTGTAAATGATAGGGATGAAAACCGTAACTTTAAAGGCACGTGGATGAAGATGATCTTCCGATTCCAAGAAGAATTCGTAAAACTCCATTTTCATCAAGAATTGATATATTAACCGGCATGTAAGTTAGTACAGTTCTCCTACTTGTGGAGATAACAATTTTTAACAAACCACAAGATGAAAAACRTTGTTTACTTTTTATCTATAACATGTTTCGGTTTCGGCATTTGCTCGTATAATCTCACTAAGGAATGTGCCATTTTCATTGTTATTGTTCCGACTGTTAAAATAAGGGTCCGGTTTTCTAGAACTCGATCTTGGTACTAGTACCCCAAACAAACTAATTACAAATATCATCACCGTGGTTTCATTTTTGTTTTGGATTGAATCCCTTATTCTAACGTAATTAACTTTTATAAAAACAATCATTATATTTTATAATTAATTTAATTTTAGTAAAATAAACAGTTTTAAAATTAAATTATAACTATTTATCTATAAAAATAAATAATTATTTTACAACAAACTTAAATAAATAATTTAAAAGAATTAAATATTGGAAGAGAGGAACTACATAAATTATAAATTCGCAATCAAGCATTTGATAGCTTGTAGTTGTACCCCTGAAAAAATGCAGGCACAAGTGTTTGGGTTTGGACTGCTGCCGGTTCTTCCTTCCATCACCACCCTCTCAACCTTCTCAACTTCATCAAATCTTTGTATTCCCAAATACCCATGTAACCATCCATCACTTCTCTATATATTTTCAGTGATTTTCAATACGATTTTTTGAATATAATCGTCCTTTGCTTGAATGTATATGTATATATATGTATGTATGTATATATATATATATATAGGTTTGCTTCCAGTTGTGTGTAGGAGCAAGAAGACAGAAGATGAACTCTTATCCGAGCTTCCTATCGAGTATCATGATGATGTAAGATCAAATTCGCCATAATTTTAGCTTATTTTTATGGGTTTTTTGGTGTTTTTATAAGTGTATTGCTTGTTTCTCTCATCTGAGAAGGTTTCATGTCTGCTGATTTCTTCAAATTCGCCACAATTTTAGCTTATTTTTATGGGTTTTTTGGTGTTCCGAAAAGGGATTATTGTTTCTCTCATTTGGGGTTATGGCGAGAAGGTTTCATGTATGCTGATTTCTTCAAATTCGCCACAATTTTAGCTTATTTTGATGGGTTTTTTTGGTATATTTAGAAGTGCTGTTGCTCTCTCATCTCATTTGAAGGTTTCATGTCTGCTGATTTCTTGAAATTCGCTACATTTTTAGCTTATCTTGATGGGGTTTTTTTTTGGTATTTTTAGCTTATCTTCATGTCTGCTGATTTCTTGAAATTTGCCACAATTTTAGCATATTTTGATGGGGGTTTTTGGTATTTAGGAAAGTGTATTTCTTGTCTCTAATTTTCTATCATCTGAGGTTAAGCTAGAAGAATTCATGTCTGCTGATTTCTTGAAATTTGCCACATTTTTTATGGGGTTCTTTTTGGTATTTTAAAAGCTGTATTTCTTGTTTCTCTCATCTGGGGTTATAGCAAGAAGGTTTTATGTATGCTGATTTCTTCAAATTCATCAAGATTTCAGCTTATCTTTAATGGGTTCTGTTCTGCAGTTCATCATTTGGCAGAAAATTTGGTGGATTTGAGATCCACACATGGTCAGGACCAAGGATTAGGAAGTCCAAATACGAAAGAAAACCCTAACATGTTCGAGTGTTTTCCATCACATTATGAAATCAATTACCCAACACCAGAAACTGAATTCGGAAGCACGAATGAATCGTGAAATCAACAAGTAGAAACAAAGTAATCACCAGATTTCAGTCGGGGTTCAGGGGTGCTGCTAGCATTGTTCCAAATGGTCTTTTTGGGAGGTTTGATCTTTTTGATGTGTTGTTTCAGGAATGGCAAGCGCGTCAACGAGAAAAGACAAAAGAGCTGGAGCGATTACGACAAGAAGAAGACGAGGAAGAAGATAGAAAAGTTGATGAGTATCGTGAAATTGCTATGCTGTTGAAGGGTTATCCTCAAGAAGAGGTTTTTAAAGCAAAAAAATTGGTGTCCAGTTTTATCAAATCTGCCGAAGAAATTGAAGAGGTAAATTGGTTGCTTCCTCTTTTGTTCATGTAAGAAATATATTTGATCTGAAGTTAGTAGAACGAAAACGATCCCATATTTAGGGCCTGTTTGTTAGCAGGTTAAAGAGCTTAATAAGTTTCACAGCTTATTCGATCATATATATATATATAATATCACTGTTTGGTAGTGGCTTAATGATATAGAAAGTGGCTTATTCAGTAAGCTTCTAGGGGGGAGTTTTATGCAGAAAGCCAAGTTTTTTTCAAACCTATCCATCCCAATTAAAAAACTAGGGCCTTCCATCTATGAAAAAATCTTCCCAGACAAAAACCTACCCAATCTATTCAGACAGATTAATCCAGAGAGACCGCTTTAGAGATATTTAGGTATAGAACTTTAAATGAGATTTTAATTAAATCCATGATCTTCTGATTGTGTTGGAGTCCCACATCAGCTAGATTTGGACCATTTATCCCCAATATACATTGGAGAACCTCTTTTATCTCTTAAGGGCTCTTTTAGAGAGTAATCTGCTTAGGTTCCACGTATCCTCACAAGTCACAACGTATGGAGCTAACGTTGTCCTAAAATTACCGGTCGACTTAAAAACTATCCTAAAAGATATCACTTTTTAACCACGTTCGAGTTCATAACGAGGTGCAGGTTCAAACGAGAACGGTATCATTTTACAAAAACACAAGAACACTTGAAATAGACAACCATCACATGTGATACTGAACGGGGATGAAATGGTGTGCTAGCGACTTGGTCCGCGACTAAGACTCCATCGTCTTTGTAGCACCATGTGAGGGTTGCCTGTTTCAGGTGTTCTCGCGTTTTCGTGAAAATGGTACCATTTAAACCTGTAAAAAAGACATATGCCTCTTTTTATGTGTTTTCCATATTCCCGAGTTGCGATTTCGAGTAAAAAATTAGTTCGATATAAAGCTTTCACGTTTTCTTGTTTACAGAAAATCGAGGAAGCTGCCGAGAAAGGTGAATTGAATGAACTTGTTCTCATGGTCATTTGGACTCGTCTTGACCTTGCTCGCCGTGATGTATGCTACCGTATCAATATCTTCCGTTTTACTCCCTCCGTCCCAAAATAACTGTACACGTTTCTATTTTAGTTTGTACGAGTATAAGTCTTGAGTTTCAGAAGCAAGATTATGCTTTCCAATTCTACTCTTAATTACGAGATGGATAAGATCATTTCTCCATCTATTATTAAGGGTAAAATTGTCATTTAGTTAATTAAAAAGTGAATAAGATCATTCTTGCAAACGACTTACGATCGAATTAGTAATTAGAGCTCTAATTTATACCATTTTCCTCGATTTTGCAGGAAGAAAAAGATGCAATTCGAAGTTTAGATCTTATATACAGGCGAGTCGAGGTATATTAAGTTCCTCATGTTGTTAACTCGTGTAGATTTTATGTCGGATGTGGCAATTATTCGTTACTGCATTTGGTATGCGGATAGGACTGGACTGGACAAATGAGAGTGAAGCAGACGGGTGAAAGAATGAATTGTAGAAGGTTTTAGGGTTTTAATTTGACAGGGGTAATTTAGTAATTTATCAAGCTTGACCATCCCACTTATTTTGATGGGATTGGGAAAAAAATGCATTTTTGTCCCACTATGTCTTGTCCGGTCTTAGTCTAATTGTCGCACCAAATGTGGGACAACAGGTTATTGTCTTGGCCTCCTATACGATCCTGTCTTGTATCGTCTTGTCTTGTCTTGTCCTGTTCTGTATTTTACTGTTCTGCATACCAAACGCATCCTATTCAACGGTCTCCTTTATTTCAGACGGAGATCTTGAAGAAGCAAGCTAGTCCGGCGATGAGACTACTCAACGAGCTTTTAATCATGCACGACGGATTTGATGATGAAGGGTGGCTCAAGGCTTGTAAAAAATGCATGATCAAAACCTTCCCACGAGAAGATCCGTTTAGTCTCTTGGTGCCCGCAGGGTTCGATCTTGATAAGGTACATCCAAAATTTCACATAGAAATATCGGCATCAGTTCACATTCACAAGCTCGGGTCTTATCGGAAACAACTGCTTTACTCTTCGAGATAGAGGTCACCTCTGCATACATCCCACCTCCAGATGGGATATACGGGGCTCGTTTGGTGTGGTTTTTAAATAAATGCATCAACCATTTTTTTTTGCTGTGATTTCAGCACCATGGGCCGCTAGTTAGACCGGCAATGGAAGCAGATGATCTTCTTTTAAGGATCGATTTCATAAGAGAGGTCGATGAGTTGCTTAAAGAAGTTCGACCTGCAGAAACCGAAGGATCGATGGTCGAAGCTTTCGATCCAGAATCGGTTGCAAATAGGTTAAAACAACAGGAGAAGAAGAAGGTGGTTCGCCAAGTTGAAGCTCTTTTAGATCTTGCCATTAAACTGAGATGGTAGCTTCATATGTGCACTAATAGTGTTTTTTTTATTTATTAATTTTAGGGGATAATCATCTGAGTACCCATAAAATTACGAGAGTATTTGTGCATCATGTGTTATTTTATATGATAATTTTTTTATCTGAGGTTAGGATTTGGGTATTAATTAACATATATTTGTGTCACAATATGTTGTTTTATATGTATTTGTTTCACAACAATGAAACCTTTTTTTTTTTTTTTTTATTGTGTTTGTAAAACATACAAACAAAAAGTACGTCTTCAGATGGTTGTAAATCTTAACTTGCCATTTTTTTTTTTTGGTGATGGCTAAACTTAGAGGTTGTTTGTTTACCTCTTAATAGTTTTATTAAAAGGCGGTATCTGAATCATTAAGAGGTGAATCTTGTTTGACAAAAAAAAAATCTGCCAATTAATGGTTCTAAAACCATGTAAATGATTTTGTATCAGTGGTCTCCCTTAATCATTCAGCGCCCTAATTTCATTGTAAACAATTACCAAAYAATTATATTTTATTTTGCATTATATCATGAGAGCTTTTTAATCATTCCGACCACTTAATCATCCTGCACTAAACCATTCAACAACTGCCAAACAGCCTCTTAGGCAAAATATTACTCCCTCAAAAGTGTCTAAATTTATATTTTAGTTTGTCTTATAGACTTAGATCATGTGAAAACAGCATGTTTTCGTGAGACTTATAAGACCGTTTTTTACACTTGAAACTTCACAGTAAAGCACTGTGAAAGTAACCTTCACAGTGTTTTTGCTATGAAATTGGTTTTCTTTGAACTTCATAGCATTTTGCTGTGAAGTTTCAAGTGTAAAAAAAAATTGTCTCACGAGTCTCACGAAAACAGGCTGGTCTCATGTGAATCCAACCCTTGTCTTATATATATAAATATGAAGTTTAATATATTTTATATACAGTGGGTTAATCATTTGAGAAYCCCGTGTATTATGATAACTATTATCGTAAGGTGTTGTTTTACATGGTTTTTTCCATTTAAGTCTGGAATTTAATATATATTTGTTTTTCACCATGTATTTATTCCGTATGTATTCGCTTCTCAATGTGGAAAGTTTTTAGTTGCATATTTTGTTTCACAAACAAATATTTATATTGTGAAATAAATATATGTTAATCAATACATTAAATCCAAACTTTGATAAATAAAAAAAAAACCATGTGAAAAAGCATAATGATTTTCAAGATTATCACAATTTTATAAGCTTTTAAAATGAAAACCATCGTGTATCAGTATAATAAACTTTTTTATATAATATATAATAAGACAAATTGCATGAAAAAGTTTTAAACACTTAAGTATCCAAGTAACCGGTTGAAGCATTAACCGGTTAGACTAAGATATTCATGTCAGCAAATAATACTGAGTTGGATACCACATTATTCGCCACATCAGCATGATAACCGGTTACCTGGGTTAAATGTTTAAAATTTTACATCTTAGGTWTTATAATGGATGTTTTGAAAGTACGCTACCCAAAATAAGAATCAAGTTAAAGCACGTTATTTGTACATACAATTTTTCCATATATAATATACAAACTTCTCTTTATATCATTTAAAACATTGGTTAGGAATCACAATCTCACACATAACTTAACAAACTTCTGTTTTCCAACTAACAAATCATAATTTGAAATAAATGTTCACACTTTTTAAAGTCAAACTCTTTATATGTATGGTTACAAAATGTGGGCTCTTATCATTTTATTTAATTATTATATTTTTTAATTAATAAATAAATCTAATTTATGCAAGTAATTATTTTAATATCTATATTTTGACTAATTAATTATACATGAAAAGAAATGTTTTATAACAACAATATTTTTTATTATAAAAATAATAAATTATTTAATTTTTTATTAAATTATAAAGTAGATATTAATGGGCCAGTAGACCAGTTTTACAAAAAGGTTAAATGTATGTAATAATGACTTACTTTCATAAATTTTATTATTATAGTATTATATATTTGTTTTTTCTTATCATAGCATGTACTTTCAAACTATTTTCTATTGGAACATTGTACTTTGAAAAATCTACCCATTATAGCAACAGCTAAATATTACCTTTTAAACTCTTTGGTATAAAAGATAACTTCAAAGCTGATATGATACATTTAAAAGATAAWTGGAATTGTATTGGTGCAACTGATGATATAAAATAGGAAAATTAATAGAAATAGTCATTTTCAGGCTTTGGATTCATCTCTTAGTCATATCTCTCTCCAAAATTTCAAAAATATTACTAGGTCCTTAGATGACACCTCCAAAATTTACGGAGGGGTCAAAATGTAAAAAAAAAACTTTGAACCAGGTCCGTAGTGCAGTAGTCAAATCTGTAAATTAGATAAAGGTCCGCAAGTGGCGGAAGTGCTCAGACTAATTTACAGAGTTTGTTCATGCACTTGTGGACCTAGTTCAGAAACTTCTTCTTTTTTATACTTTGACCCCTCTGCAAGAGGAGTTGCTACTTGCAAAGGTAGTGACATTGTTGAGATGTTGAGAAAAATGGTTAAGAGATGGATTGAAAGTTTAAAAAATGTTATTTTAACTAATTTTTCTATGAAATATATCTTTTTAATAATATCAACAAAAAAAAACTTGTGAATTCAAGTTCACGAAATGATTATTAATTGGTTTATGTTCGACAAACTAACTGATAAGTTAGCTGGTAGCTGATAAACTAGTTGATTAACAAATCATGTCTGGCACAACTAGCTGATATGAATGTAAAATGATAAAAAAAAATGACATATTTTGAAAAATTAATCAATTATAATATTTTAAAATATGATTGAAACAAATATTTAATAATATAATATATTAACTAATACAAACAAAATGATAAAAAAAAAATTAAAATATTGATTAAAAGAATTTCGAATTGATTATTATACATATTATGATATTTGGATTTGTTAAAACAAATTTAAAAAAAAAAATCTATTATTATGATTTTAAATAACCATTATATATAATATGAGTAAAAATAAAAATAGTCTACCTCACATATTATAATTAATTAATGAATTTTCAAAAAATATATTTAATAATTAATTCAAATATTTTATTTAAATTATCTAACTCATTTTTATTATCTATAAAACAAAATAAATATAACTTTAATAGTATATTACATAAATAGTGTTAAAATTGTTATATTTAAATATATTGAATAATAATTAAAAATTAATAATATAAAAATAATTAATATGGTTAATAAATATTGTAAAATAATATTAAAAGATAATGTATAATTAGAATTAATTTCAAATTTATTATAATTAACATATATTAATGGTTAATATTAATAATATTTTATTTTTATTTTTATTAATAAGAGTTATAATTAAAAATAATAATAATAAATTATCAAAACATTACTTTAAATAACGTTTCAATAAGCTGCTTGTCTAAAACCAACGATTTCTAGATATTTTAAATTTTAAAATATAAATTGGATGGTATTTGTTTAAGCATAAAACGATGTAGTTTTGTTGACGGAGTAATTGATTGCCATAAACAACGAACAAGTCCAAAAAGTAGGAGAAAAGTCAATTGATTGCAATCAATGTCCAGATGATATTTGCTGGAATTTCAACAACTTCCCCCCAATTCCATGCTGTCTAAATTAATCTCTATTTTTTTCCTTCCCCCATAATTCACGGCGGCGGTGGTGGTGGTGTAGGTGAGACGGTCACGGTCACGGTCACGGTGGTGCTCCGCTACTCATATCTTTCCTAAATCCACAGCTTAATTTCAATCAAACAACCCACTTCACCAGATTGTAGATTGAAAAACTATAATGGGTGGTGCTTCATCTGTTCCAGAACATTCGATTCATGAATTTACTGTCAAGGTTTTCTTCAATTCTTCGTACCCAAAACACACACGAACTTAAATGGGAATTATGTTATTGGATGTGGGGTTTTGTTTGTATTTAATATTCGAGAAAACGGTGCAGGATAGCAAAGGGAAGGATGTGGATCTTAGCATCTACAAGGGAAAAGTTGTTCTTGTTGTTAATGTTGCTTCCAAATGGTTGAATTACATCCCTGTATCTCTAACTTCCTTCGAGATTTCTTCAACTTTTTGGTTTGCCTTCTAACTGTTTGTTTTTTTTTTGTCTGAACCAGTGGATTTACAAGCTCAAACTATGCGAAATTGACTAAGCTTTATGAAAAGTACAGAAACAAAGGTATGGTTTTACTTTTTTACCCACCAATCCTTCACAATTGTGGTTAGTATTTGGGTAAAAAGTTGATTACTCACAGACCAACCGGCCTCTCACTAAACCCGCCTCCAAAGACATTTGAGGCTAGTGGGCGCTGAGTTCACTCTGTCTTGTATTTGGGCAAAATCACTCCACTTCTTTGTCAATAATTGTGGTTGAGAAAATAGAAGAAAGGGAAATGAAGACTAGCCAAAAGACCTAAAATCTAAAAGATCTAATTACTATATGGAAGTAGTAAAGCATAGTTCTAGTCCTAGGATTACATATCGCTCATTGGCCCAGAACTCACAACTATTATATTTGTGTAAGTGGTTGTTTGGTTGGTTTTCCATCAAGTCTTGTACGGATAAAGTTGTCGGTATGGATTAACCTGTCTATATAAGATTGAGAAGGTTTTTGTTTGGGAATGTTTTTTTTCATATATGGAAGGAGAGTGCTTTTTAATTGGGAGAGATAGGTTTAGAGAAAAATTGGCTTTCTGCACAAAGCTTTCCCTAGAAGCTTACTGAATAAGCCACTATCTATATCATTAAGCTATTACCAAACAGTCATGAATAGTTGACCGAATAAGCTGCGAGTCTCATTAAACTGCTAGCAGAAAGACCCTAATTTGTGGTTTATGGAGTGTTTATAGACTCTAAATGCATATTAATCATAAATCCCAATTGTTGATAAACAAGCTTATGATGTGTTAGGAATCAAGATGGCTCAAAAATTAGTCATTAAAATCGTTTGTAACCCGCAAACCCGAGTCGGCCACATCAGCCCGCCCCAAGAGCATCATGTGAGACGCAGATCAGGTCCCTATACAACGAGACCAGAAGGAGCACAACCCTGAAAGGAGTTGTAGCTCCCACACTATGGCTGACTCGAACCATCGCCTGTTTGTACAAATATACAAAAGAAGAATCTCATCTTACCCCTTCTTTGTCAATACGTCATCTTTTTCTATCCCCCACTACCGTTTAATTTATATATGTAACCCCTCTACATTTACATAACTACCCCTTCACACGTATTGGCCTCATACCTTTACACATGTCAAAATTTAATTAGAGGAACAGGGAAAGGATAACAGGTCATTATTTTTCCTAAATATACAATTCCGGAACCATCTGTGCTACATCCTAGAGGCTAGGATCGTTATCTTACCAAACAACCATATTAAAACAACAACAGTTACCAAACAACCATTTTCATTCCGCCCTCTTAATCATTCTGACCACTTAACCATTCTGTTTCAAATCATTCGTCAACTGTCAAACAGCTCCTTATATTACTGTTTATGGTTTAGCAACAAAATCTGAAATCTGATTTACATAAAAATCAGGTCTTGAGATATTGGCATTTCCATGCAATCAATTCTTGAAGCAAGAACCTGAATCAAGTGAGAAAGTGGAGGAATTTGCATGCTCAAGGTTTAATGCTCAATATCCCATCTTTCAAAAGGTAAGTTATCTATGTGATCATTCCAACATATATATATTTACTGAATTTTCATATCTTTTTATGCCAAATACTTGATTTATCCATTCTCATGTCTAAAACCAAATGAACCCAATAAATCTCGCACAGATTAGGGTTCAAGAAGGGTAAAATGTAAGCAGACTTTTCCTCTATTTGGTAGAGGATATTTCCATGAATTAAAACAAGAAATGAAGTTTAGAGGAGTTGATGAAAATCAAGTAGTAAACAACAAGAAAAAAATAAATTACACTTGTAAGGGCATTAAAAAGCGTACGCAGAAGAACAATATAGCTACTCAGTGTAACACTAAAGATAACCAAAATACCTCATTCTTTGGCTAAACTCGCACAAAAAAGCAACTCGAGGGTGCCCCTAAAGAGTCGCCGTCACCTATCTATTAGAGATGCACAAAAAAGCTCAAGCCTGAATCAGGTAAACCTGAGCCTAGGCCAAAGCCCAGAAAAAGCTCAAACCCGGGCTTAGTCATCCCGAGCCTAGGCCCAAGCACAGCCTTAAAGCTCGATTGGGCCAACTTTTTTTGTGCCCGGATAGAGTATAGTCTGAAAAAGTCCGATTTTGCCCTGTTTCAACCCCAAAGCCCGTCCGGGCCCAAAAAAGTAGCCTTTTTTTTGGTTAATTAAAAACGGGCTTGGAAGGCCTTGCCTTTTTGCATCTCTAGCCACAATATGTTTGAACCACGAGTTTTTTTGAAGGGCCAAATTGTATCTAATGAGCTGCTTCTTTCATAAAGATTCGTGTCAACGGGCCGAAAGCAGCACCTGTCTACAAGTTTCTTAAAGCTAAGAAAAAGGGGTTTCTTGGGTCTAGCATCAAGTGGAACTTCACCAAGTTTCTTGTGGATAAAGAAGGTCGAGTCATTGGCCGTTACGGGCCAACTACTTCACCGTTATCGATCGAGGTAATCCGTCATTCGTGCACCCTCTCTATATGTTCCTTGTTTCTTCTCAATCACGAAGCAAGCAACAAAATATCTTGGATACTTGATTCACAGAGATAATCCTTCAACACATTCTCCAAAATGGAGAAAATGGAAATTTTGGAGTGTTTATTCTAATTTTTTCTCCGACAAGTTCTCCAAAATAGAGAAAGTAAATGAGAGATGATAAAAAGGGAAATTAACCAAAATAGCCATTATACTCAACACAATTCATTCTAGCCAGTATTTCATCAAAGTTTCCAAAATATCATCAATTCTGCAATTGATAAAGCCGTAACTTGCGGGATGTACGTTTTCTTATTAAAAATAATTAAAAAATCAAAAAGAGGTCATTCTGCAATTGGTTTGTTCGGCTCCGCAAGTGGCTCGTTTGTTTCCTCAAGTTTGACCCAATTTTTAATTCTTGGGGAATGTCGCTCCTCACTTGCAGAAGTAATGATATTTTGGAAACTTTGATAAAAAAAATGGCTAGAAAATGAATTTTGTTGAGTGACAGGGTTATTTTGGTCAATTTCTCTGATAAAAATCGGTCAAAATTAAATGTTGAAAGAGAGAAATGTTTTGTATTGTCTTACACCGATTAGGTTGAATGTATGATCATTTTACATGAAGTTTATTTGAAATTTTATTGGGACACTAAAAATATTAAATATATTTCATAATATAATTAGTGTTGAAATCTCTAAAATAGAGAAACTGTTGGAGTTGAATATAGTTTTTTTAGAGATTTTAACTTTTGTTTCTTTATTTTGGAGAAATTACGTTCTTTCCCTCCGGGGTGCAGCACAATTGGTTCTGCGATGGTATATTTACACAAACAACAAAATTAACATGCCTACGTTTCTCATTGCAGGGAGATATTCAAAAAGCGTTGAACGCTTAGTGAGGTGTTCAGTTTTGTCCTAAAGGAGTATAAATATGTTGCTTTTTGTATGTTCTTGTTGCTCAAGTAGATGTATCGATCAAATCCGCTTAATGTAAAATACGCAAAACCTTGCGGAAATCATGGAGATCGAAAGGGGGTTTTCTAGGGACGAAAAGCGTAGGAATCACCTTTCGGTTGCTAGAATTTATGGTTGTTGGTTTGACGTGTATGGTTTGTGGTTATAAGATGTCGAGTTTTTCGCACTTAAAACGGGTTGCTTTAAAGATGTGTTTTGTGTATATCACTTCTTTCACCAACAAAATATCACAAGGCCCACACAACAAATTTAATGATCAAAATTGAATCTAGAGTTGTAAACGAACATAAATGGATCGAATGTAAACAATAAATTTGTGGTTATAAGAGTTGTTTTTTATGAATATCCCAGTCCCTCGGTTAAATGTAACGACATTTTAATCACGGAATGAATATAAGTTGAATGGTAAATTTGATGCATTTAGCTTGAAGGTGTACTGCAGGTATCAGTGATGTATGTACCTACGAAATACAGCAACATATAAGATTTTACTATAATATTTATGCTTAATTTCATTTTTACTAATACTTTTATATCAACACATGGACCTCAAAGAACTCCACTCTATAAAGTTAGTGTTACTACAAAGAGACTAATATCTCTAAGTCACTTCGAACCCATTCCAGTCTTCCCTTGCTTCAGTAAGCTAAAGATCTGGGGTTTTTTTGTCCCAGGTCGGGTCAGGAAAAGGGCTCAATCGTGGTCGGGACTAATATCTCAAGTCACTTCGAACTCATGTTACTTCACTAAGCTAAAAAAAATCCAAATCCGGGTTTTTTTTTATCCCAAGTCGGGTCAAACTTGGGGTGGAAAAAAGGCACAATCGTGGTCTTTAAGACCCACCCTTTCGGGCTTTTTCGTGCTAAATCAAAAAAATAAGCTTTTTCAAATGTGGTTTTTTAAGTGGGGCCTACTTCAAAATTTTCACCATGAATATAAAATTCGAGCTCACTACGGCCAACGTTTTTCAGACCGGGCTGAACTGCTCAATTAAGATATAAGTCGGGTCTGGACTTCTTTATGCATTTTGTTGCTTCACCTCAAGTAAGAATCAGACCATTTCAACCAAAAATTCTCAATTGTAGCCTTTAATGCATATTAGTAAATCTTACTAATTTGAATTGTAGATTAGTTTATAATTTATTATTATTTTCATGCTTGGATTAATTCTTATCTTTTAAAGTACATGGACCAAAACAGTAAAAAGATGTAAACCACCAAAACAAGGACAAATTATAAACCATAAGGATAAAAAATGAAAAAATTACAACCATATATCAACAAAAAAGAACATAAAAAGATGATCAAAAGTAACAGAATAAACCAAATTTCATAGCAACTTATAGACAAAAATTCACATTTCATAGTAACTTCTATAGAAAAAAAARGACACCTAAAGAACCGTATAACGTCACATTGCGCAACAATCATTTAAACGCGAAACGAATCCTACCCGCTATCTGCATACTACCATAAAACGGCCGGTTTTGATAGTAAAGCCTCGATAAATAATCTAAAGACCAAAACGAACGATAAAAAACGATAAAAAAAACCACCCCTCTCATGATCAAGAACCGATATACCTAAAATACCAAGTCCTCCCCATTGTCGAATAACTCCCACCCATCATCAAGAAGCATTTTTCGATCATCATCATGGTGTTTTTCTTCTCCAGATGGAAAACAATCGTTAATGGTATGTACGGTTTCAGTTGGAGATTTGGGTGATCGAGCTAAACCTGACCTTGATGTTGAACTTTTGTCGAGAAATCCGTAAGAATCTCCCAATTCTGCATTCGTCTTTGGGGTTCCGTAAGTCTCGAGTTCTGGTTCAGAGGGTGTTCCGGTAGTTCTGAAAGATGAACTTGAAGAAGCTAAAATTGATGATGTCTGACTAGAAGATAGTGTAATACGCTTGTCGAACTTCTCTTTCAGCAGTTTCACATCCTGGCATTTGACGTATATCTCTCCTCTGCAAAATTATGTGTAAAGCGGGAAGTCACAAAACCAGTAGATCTCACGCAGAAGTAGGGTGGGGGGTAGAATATAGGCAGACCTTGTCTCTACCAAGTATATAGGTGGTTGTTCCAGTAGGGTGCATTCGGGATGCAGATCGGACAGAACAGTACGAGAAAGGGCGATCAAGAGTGAGGTAGGCAGGTGAAAGAATCGCATAAGGTTATTATTTTTAATTTGACACAGGTATTTTAGTAATTTACCAATCATGTCCATCTCCTATATTTTCGGTCCACATATTTGGTGGGACAAAAAAATTCTCTGAATATGTCCACTCCCAGTCTAATGTTGCGTCAAACGTGCGACAGCAAGTTTTTGTACCGTCATGTCCCGTACAACATACCAAACAAGACCCTTTTGTTCTGTTTGTTTTTATTTGGGGAAGCTTTCCCCAAAATAAAAACAACAGTAAGTTAAATTTTCATCCCTGTGGTTTGTCAAAAATTGAGATTTTTGTCTCTGTGGTTTAAAGATTGCAGTTTTCGTCCATATGGTTCGTAATTCATTGCTATTTTCTTCCTTATGATTTACAATTCTCTACTGTTTTGGTTCCTTGTACTTGGAATTAGTCCAGGGACGAAAATAGCAATAAATTACAAACCATTGGGACTAAAATCGCAATTTCTAAATCACAGGGACAAAAATCAAAACTATTAACCACCCACAACAACGAAAGTTGTAATTTAAAAACAAACAGAACGAACCGAGTCTTGTTTGGTACTTTACACAGAACATGACATTACAAAAACTTCTTGTGTCAACGCCTTTAGAGCGGGACAGGACAGGTCAAGAGTGGTACAAAACTGCTTTTTTTCCGTACTGAAGACATGTCTCGATCTAACGTCACACCAAACGTAGGACAGCAAATTTTTGTACTATCATGTCCCATACAATGTGTTAAAGAAACAATTATTCATCTCATATCATATATCTAGTAGCAATGCTCATAAGAAAACCGAACTCACTGTAAAATATCGATAGCACGGCCACGATCCATGAGGAATTCTTGCAACTAAAAAGCCAAAAAAGGAAATGTTATGATCACTCTTTATGATGGTATTTTGCATAACAAATAACAAACAGTTTTATGTTTACGTACCTTGGAATTTTCCTCTGCTTCCATCTTGAGTTTCTTGGATTCTTCGACCACCATTTCCATTTGGCTTTCTTGGTAAGCAAGTGCTTCTTTGGCAGATCGTTCTTTTTCTAGCTTTTCTTCCTCTGCTGCCTCGATTTCTTTTAAAGCTGTAGTCAATCTAATCTCTAGAGCCACACGCATCTAAACAATAAAATGCTCGTTCAATTAAGCATCATATGAAAAGAAAATCGACTAAGAGGCTGTTTGGTTGGTTGTCCATTAAGGTTTGCATGAATAATATCTATCAAAATAGATTGTGAAGGTTTTTGTTCGGGAGGGTTTTTCCATAGGTGGAAGTAGTGTTCTTTATAATTGGGAAGGGCATGTTTGGAAGGAAAGAAAACTTGGCTTTTTGCATAAAGCTTCCCCTTAAAAGCCACTTTCTATATTATTAAGACACTACCAAACAGTCATGTATAGCTGACCAAAATAAGTTGTGAGTTCCATTAAGCTCATTAAGCCGCTAACAAACAGGTCCTAAGAAATACATGGAAAGAAGAAAAGGAAACTAAATACAAATTCATAGGCAACTAAAATACATAACTCCATGAGAAATCAAACTCAAACCAATAAACAACTATAGCACAACTATTAAAATGGCCTCTACAGCTCTTGCAAAAAGGAAAGTAAAATGGGCTGGACTCTTCTGTTATTTCTTGAGCCCATAAAGGCAACCATCTTATAGACCGTAAAAGTGGCAAAGCCACCATAAAGCTTGATTAACAAAAATCAAACACCAAACTCTCCAAAAATGAATACCCATATATTAAAATCAAGGAAAGACGTGCATGAAGAAGAATGAAGTTCTTAGGACGAAAATAGGACAACCAGAACTGTAAAAACCCTATGAACAAACACCAAAGCAAGTACTACCTCAGTCTCAAAATATATGTTTACAATGAAAAAGGCACACAGTTTCAGAAATCTGTGATTATTACACTTTTTAATCAAATCAACAACAATCTTACATTAACAATAGAGGAAGTAACGAATTCCATCTCATAATTAAGAGTAGAATTGGAAAGTAGGCATTTATGTTTGAAAGTTAAGACATTTATTTTCAGACAAACTTATATAGAAATGCTGACAGTTATTTTGGGACGGAGAGATACCAGCCAAAAGTTTATYAAAATCCATTTGATACAGACACAAAAGTTTGTGAAGTGGCTGAAAACAATTGGTGGGCTAGAAGACATTGCCCATTGGGCCAATAAGGCTCTATGCAGTAGTGATATTGAAAATGAATGAAAAATAATACCTCCTCAAGAATTTCAAGCGATCTGCTTCTCTCATCTGACAAATTCAGCAAACGAAGCTGAAGCTCCTTCAACTCAGTAGCCAAGATAGCCTTCTCTGCATATACTTCTCCAGCATGCTGCAAAAAAACAGACTTATAAGTATACAAATAACTAACTAGAGCATCTCCAACAGGTTCTCTATAATTTTTCTAGAACAAAGAACCTAAAGTTAAAATCTTTAAAAAGAATTACATTCAACTCCAACAGCTTCTCTATTTTAGAGATTTTAACATAAATGATATTATTATAATATTCTCTAATTTAACATCCCAATACACTTTAAAAAACTTTATAAAATAATAATAATTTAATCTCATTGGTCGAATTGAATAGAATAATCATCTCTCCCCCAAAATCAAGTTTTAGAGAGATCTCTAAACTTCTTTTTTCATGTTTTCTCTATTTTAGAGAACATTATAGAGAATATGTGGAGCAATATAGATAACAAAACCTTCATTTTCTCTATTTTAGAGAATCTGTGGAGATGCTCTTATGAGATCAATTACAGAAAACAGATGAACAACCATGTCGTTTGCTTCTTTTGCACGCCAAAGTGCTTGTTTAAGTTCATCCACCTTCGCAAGAATGTCTGAGCAACCACAGGCAGCTCTCTCTTTTGCCTGTTCTGCAGCTCTCTCTTTAAATTCAACCTCTTTCATTAGGTTGACAACTGAATCCATAGCCAACGCAAGAGTTTTCTGCACCACAAACAGTCTTAAAACAAGCTAATAAACGTCTCAAAGACCAAAGCTATAGCATCACTAGAACCAAAAAAACCAATGACGCCCAAAAACAATTCACTTGTGAGCATATTGGTTATTATTCACAGATGCTAAAAGAAAATTATAAGATTGGTTTTCATGGAAAACATCGCTCTACCATTTGAGGTATATTGGGTTTGTTTGGTCTGGTTTTAGCTTCAAGAAAGAATATTAGCTCTAATATATATCTTTACCATGAAAAATACAAAAGTGATCATTGATTACAAGAAAGAATATTGATTTTACTGGTTTATAACACAAAAACAATGGCAAACTGCAGCAGAAGTACCAATCTTATTGAAAACTCTTGTAACTTAGAACACAAACCTAAAAAAAAGAAGCTACACATAATTGTGTGAATTTCTCACTTCATGCACAAATATACTTCATCATGCAAAATCATAATTCTCAATTTATGCAAAGTCTGCCATCAAAACTGTTATGTGCCCTTTAGTGCAATTGCTGGTAAGTAACCATGAAAACATAATAATAAAAAATAAAAAACTCAGGAAGGTGGCAAGATGATTACATAGATGAATACAAAGTTACCTTGTCATTCCTAGCATCTTCAATAATATCTTGGAGAAGTTCAGTGCTACAAGTTTGGTCTGATCTGGTAAGCACAGAGGTCATGATGAGCTCATCCTCTGGATCAACTATTGTGATTGCCAAAGAATTTTTTTCAGACGTAGTTTTTGAAGAACTACTGGAATTCAATTCCTGAGTAACAGTTAAATCTTTTTCACATGTGCCTAGTAATTGGCTGCTTGATGGAGCAATCATTTCAGTATCCACATCAAGAAGTGTAATTTTGTCATTGATCGCAGCTTCCTCTTGAATAGACCCAGAAACTCCAGCACCACTTGCTAGAGAGTTGCTCATTTTTGCAGCATTTTGATCTCCAGTTTTCACAAACCCATGATCATGATCATCATAAACACCATTTTCATGCGTGAATTTGTCATTGATGGCAGCTTCCTCTTGAATAGACCCAGAAACTCCAACACTGCTTGCTATAGAGTTGCTCACTTTTGCAGCATTTTGATCTCCAGTTTTCACACACCCATAATCATGATTATCATACACACCATTTTCAGAAATTGAAGCGGGTGTAACACATTCATGATTAATATTATTGTTAACAAGATTCTCCAAAGGTATTGGTATGCCATAACACACGGTGTCAATTTCACCATTTGCATCATAAAAACAAGATGTGCAAAGTGGTTCCGAGGTTACTGGCTCAACAACTTTAGGGCTATTAGGTTGACCAGACAAATCAGCATCTAGATCAATAAATTCAATATGTCAGGTCAAACTTACAAATGATACAAACCAAATACAACAAAGGTGTTGCTAAATGAACCGCCTTTTTGGTCAATTTGTGGTCAAAGCATTAATTTCAAATGTAAAAAAGGGTTGATGTTGATATGTATGAGTGTGAAAATGGTAGGGGGTTTATGTAGCAATAAGGGGTTCATTTAGAATAACTCACACATTAATCAGAGAGTTAATGTTTTAAGAAAAGGTTAAACAACACAGGCATATAAACAAGTCCAATCAAAAAACAAAAGTCAATTTGAAAATACTACCTTCAATTGCCACGGGCAAACTTCCACCAATGTTGGAAGGACCAGCTTCAGTATATTGCTCAGAAAGACATGGAAGAACATCTCCAGAATCCATAGTAGCCTCAAACTGACCAGTTCTGGCACCATCTACAACTATCAAATCAGAAATACAAACCAAATACATCAATTACACCAATCTTAGAGCTACAAAGACAAAAAACCTGAGCAAATGTCTACACGTGGATCTGTTCATGAAAGCCTGTTACCTTCAGAGAGACTGAGTGAACTCTTGCCTTTGTTGGTACGCGATTGTTCAGACAGACGAGGGATGACCTCAGCAAGAACAACTTCGACAGCTACATCGGCATCCTTAGGGTGCTCAATAGCCACAGCTCTCAGTATGCGAGAATCAACCTGCAGGCAAATAGTATATAGCAATTTATCAATCTCATAAAGCTGCTCAAAAAGTTTAAACACATCCTCAATGTATTTTGTACACGGTACAAAGCATGACAGCACAAAAACTTCTTGTCCCATGTTTGATGTGACATTAAACCAAAACAAGACATGACTTGAATATCACACAAAAATAGGTGGAAACGAAATAAGGGAGATTGGACAAGATTGGTAAATTACTAAACTATTTGGTGTCAGATTGAAACCCTAAAATCTTCTTCTTGCACCCGCCTACCTCACTCTCACCCGTCCAGTCACGAAATACAACTAAGTGATATGACAAAATTTATACTATGTGTCTACAAGGTAATTAAGAACTTTTAAAATTAATGTTAATTTGTGGCCTAAGACCCCAAGCAGACAATGAACCCTCAGTATTTCACAAGATATCCCCATATCCCAATTAACACAAAACACAACAATTACTTAAAAGCATGAAGAAAATACAGACAAGGGCTGCCAAATACAGTGCAATTAGAATAGAGATTATAATTAATCCATAACAAAGTTACTAATTAAAAAAGACATACCTGTTGAAAAATATCCTGTAACACCCTATAAACTGAATTGAATCCCATCTTTGAATACCAACTAAAACCTGAAAGATAAAAGTTACACAATGATGACTTAATGAATACCAATCCATTAAAAAGGTAAATAATGATCAATATTTAACCAAATCAATAAATTCGGCTTACCTAACAACAACAAACTTCACCTTAACACCGACATAGAAATAAAAGTTCAACTAAACACTTGATCATACGCAAAAAACGACATAGAAAGACATTGATCGCTCTTCTCAATTTTATAAAGACACTGTAGTAGACGATAAACACATTCTCAAGTAAATCTGTGAAGAAAACTCATAACTAAAACCCCATAAAATCACTTTCCGATTCTTTGACGAGTGTTTTTGGAGAAAAATTGCAAACCCTAGTGAAAGATGATCAAAATAAGTGGAATAAAACATAAACACATAACCATAAACGTGAACATGAAGGTTTTTAGAGTATGAATCGTTACCTGCGGTATCTCAATTCAGATTCAAACCCTAAGAGAAGGGTTTGATCGGGTTTGATCGATAAGAGAAGAAAACGAAACGTATTTAAGTGTTGGGGTCTGGGAACTTGGAACCGGTCATTTAGTATAGGATAACCCTCAGTACCAAGAAATCGCGCGGGTGACCATAATCATAGTAAATTACATTCTTGTCCTTGTGTTATGTCGATAACAATTACTATACTTCATTTAATACAATACTACTAACATTTATATTAAAAAGTAGAAGGTTACTCGTACAATGTAATGGGATATATTTAGATTTTATTATAAGGGTATTTGTGTAATATAGCAAGATATATCTTGATTTTAATATTTTATTTTATTTTTTATCTCAGTCGATGTTATAGTATGGTATTATGTGATTTTAAAAAAACGATAATATTTTTATTTTTGAATAAAATATAAATTTGAAGATATCATAAAATTTTGACAAAAAAATATCGATATTAGAATCAAATTAACTATTTAAAATTCTTATTTTTTGTGTAATTTTTTAATTCAAATTTTTTTATTATAATTTAATTTAGGTTCAATAACAAAATAATTTATATTTTGTTTAATAATATAATTTTATGATAAAGATAATAATTAATTATTTTGTTAGAATTCGATAATTATCCTAATTATATATTAGATTTTTTATATTTTAAAATAAGATGTTTATCATTTATTTAGTTATGTCTATCCGCAGTTAGTTACACGAACTCAAATATGAAGCTTTAATGAGTTGTACTTTTGCATAATTTACTTGTAAATTTGAATTTTAAGTAATATGTAACAATGTACAATACTTTATGCATAAAAATTGGTTTTTAAAATTTTTTGTCAAATGTTTTATACTATAGTATAGATAATATTTCATTTTATTCATTTTCTCTGTCGATATAATACAGTTTTACGTGATTTTAGAAAACGATAATAATTTTATTTTTGAACGAAATATAAATTTGAAAAAAAATGTATATTAAATTAACTACTTCAAAGTTCTCATTTTTTCTGTAATTTTTTTAATTTAATTTTTTATTATAATTTAATTTATATATGATAATAAAGTAATTTATTTTTTGTTTAATAATATAATTATTATAAAGATGATAATTAAATATTCATTTAAAACTTAATGATTATCCTGTTTATATTTTAGTTTTTTATATTTAAAATAATATGTTTATCCTATATTTGATTATGTTTATATGCAGTTAGTTATACGAATTCAAAAATAAAGTTTTAATAAGTTTTACTTACAAACAATCTACATGTAATATTAAATTTTAAGTAATATGGATCAATTAATAATACTTCATGCATAAAAAAAATTAATTTTTTTTCCATTTTTATCTTTCTTTTTACTACTTTTAAATTAAATGCGTGATTTTAAATAGGATCATCAAAATTTTGGAACCAATAATAAGGGTCATTTATCAAACGCTTATTTGACTAAGCATTTACCAAGCCACGTTACCTTACTAGATGAATATGACAATGACCAAAAATTATACCTGGTAAAAGCGAATGCAAGAACCGAGAGTCATACCTGTTGAGTGATGACGAAAACTCTTACCACAGTTATCGCTTACCGGGTGATTGCTACATACGACGTTGTTTTGGCAGGATAAAATCTTACCCACTAAGTAAGCGATAGCGTTTAATTTTACTGTTAAACACTTACCGGGTAAGTGTTTAGGTTATCTCATAATGAACATAACACTAGCGAGCACTGTAGTGTCTCTCAAAATTGTATATTTTGTATATATATATATATATATATATATATATATATATATATATATATCTTTATTATCTCATTTTGGAGTTTAATCAAAAGATTCAGGTGTAACATGGTCTCTACAAATATTGGAGCGTCCCTGAAACTTAGCATAACTGATGGAGCAAATTTTTATTAAATATCTAAAATTTCTAAAATAGCCTAATTAGTGAATATGATTTAAGAGATGGTTTTATCCAAATATCTACAATCAGTGGCGGATCCAGGAAATTAATGGGGTGGGGACACGTTGGATGGGACTTGGGGAGGCAAGCATATGACCATATGAGACTGGGGGAAAACCATGTAAGATGAGAATAAAAACAGAAAATTTAAGCTAGTCAACAAACGTTTTTTGTCTTTGACTGAGACTTTTCCCCCCGGTCCTTAAGGGCTAGATCTGCCCCTGTCTACAATATAATATTATAATGGTATTCGCGCAATACAATGAGATACATTTCGATTTTAATGTTTTGTTTTATTCTGTCTCCGTCGATGTTATAATACGATTTTATGTGATACTGAAAAAACGATAATGTTTTTATTTTTTCAGTAAAATATAAATTTGAAGGTATAATAAATTGTTGGAAAAAAAAATTCAATTTTAGTATCAAATTAAATATATAATAGTTTTTGTATTTTTTTTGTAACTAGAAGGTTACTCGCACAATGCAGCGAGATAAATCTTCATTTTAATGTTTAGTTTTTATTCTTTGTCTCTATCGATATAATACTATTTTGTATGGTCTTGAGAAAACGATAATGTTTTTATTTTTGAATGAATATAAATTTGAAAAAAATAAAATCGATATCAATATCAAATTAACTATTTAATAGTTCTTTTGTTTGTGTAACTTTTTTAATTCAAATTTTTATTATAATTTAATTTAGGTTTAATAACAAAGTAATTTATATAAATATAATAATTAAACATTCTATTAAAACTCAATGATTATCTTAATTATATTTTAGATTTTCTATATTTAAAATAGATGTTTATCCTATATTTGATTATGTTTATCAGCAGTTAGTTACACAAATTTAAAGATGAAGCTTTAATAAGTTGTACTTATGCAAAATTACTTGTAATCTTGAATTTTAAATAATATGCATCAATAAACAGTATTTCATGCATAAAAATGATTTTTAAGAGTTTTTGTCAAATATTTTATAATATAGTATAGATCTATTTAATTCAATTTTTTATTATGATTTAATTTAGAATTAATAACGAAGTCATTTATTTTTGGTTTAATAATTTTTTTTTATAAAGATGATAATTAGTATTTTGTTAGAATTCAATAATTATCCTAAATATATTCTATATTTTTTTATTTAAATGAGATACCGATCTAGTATTTGATTATGCTTATCTGCAGTTAGTTACACGAATTCAAACATAAAAGCTTTAATAAGTTGTACATACGCACRATTTACTTATATATTGAATTTTAAGCAATATGCATCAATAAACAGTACTTAAAGCATGAAATTGTTTCTAAGAATTTTTGTCAAGTGTTTTATAATGTAGTATAGATATGTTAAAATTGAGAAGAGGAAGAAAAATGAAAGAAATCTTTAAATTTGGATAAATCTCTAAAACTCAGTATTTAATAAATAGAAAATTATTTTTCATCGACTAAGGGATTGTTTTTTACCTCTTAATAGTTCCATTAAGAGGTGAATMTTGTTTGACAAAATAAAAGTCTGTCGCTTAACGGTTTTAAAACCCCCTAATTGATTTTGTATCATATATCTCTTTTAATCAGTCAACACTTTAATTTCATTGTAAACAATTATATTTTATTTTGCACTGTATCATTAGAGTCTTTTAATCATTMTAACCACTTAACCATTCTGTACCAAACCATTCAACAACTATCAAACAGCCCATAAATATCTTAAAATTAAAAATATATACCTAATTTATTTAAGTTTTAACGATATTATGTTATTATTTATTTTTTACATATAAGGATAATGATTAAATATTTGAATGCTTGATGATTATCTTGGATATGTTTATCGGTTGATTATCAATAAGTTTTATAAAATTTAAAAACAATTTATGAACACGATAATTATGGTAAACTTAAAATGTAATAAATTATGCATTATTAAACAATACATTATGCTTATCTAAATCTTTTTTAAAACTTTTATCTAAATCTATTTTATCTATACTATATTATAAAACATTTGACAAAAACTTTTAAAAACCATTTTTTATGTGTAAAGTATTGTTTATTAATGCATATTACTTAAAATTCAAGTTTGCAAGTAGATTGTGCATAAGTACAACTTATTAAAGTTCCATATC